GTGAGATGTAGAACCAACATTCAAGGCCTTGAAACTATGGGGCAGTGTGAATAATGACAACTTGGTAGAGTATTTTCCAATGAAGAGCAATCTTTCTCTGATGTCACTTGCAGAAGATGCAGTCTCTAGGTTGCAGATTTCGAAAGGTCTGGTTACCATCATTTGGTAGGTCACAAAGAGCTTCTATTCTTGGATGAAAATATACTCTGGCATTAAAGGCTTACAGCACTTATTCAGGACAGTAGTAGATGTTTGAGGCTTTATTTTTTAATTTTTAAAATATTGTTTAGTTGTAGATGGACATAATACCTTAATTTTTAAAAATTTTTTTACATAGTTCCAGGGATCAAACCCAGTACCTTATGCATGCTAAGCAAGCGCCATACCATTGAGCCACAACCCCCCAGCCCTGAGGCTTTATTAACAAATTGGGTATGGATTTTCCAGTAGCTATTTCATAAAAGAGCAATCTACATTTTTCAGTTGGAAGTGGGTATGACTGCCATTAAAGCCAGTGGTAACACCTTTGGCCAAGGCAATACAATTGGCTGACTTTACTAATTTCAATTTTAAAATATCATTGTGTTCATGTTATGGTTTTGATGAGGTGTCTCCCCAAAAGCTCCTGTTTCCGCAGGAATATTCAGAGGTGAAACAATTAGGGTGAGAGCTGTTTATCATAGGTTGAATGAACTACCTGGAGTGGGGGGGCAACTACAGGCAGGCAGAGCATGACTGGAGAAGGTGGGTCTTTGGGTGCATACCCTGGAATGGTGCATGTTCCCCTTAGCCACCTCCTACACCTGCCTTGACTTAAACTGCTTTCCTCCACTGGGCCTTTCCCCCATGATGTGCTGCCTCACCTTGGACCCAGAGCAATGGACTCAGCTATCTATGGACTGAAAACTATGAGCCCCAGATAAACTTCTCCTCCTCTCGAGTTCTTTTGGTCCAGTCATTTTAGTCATAACTGCGAAAAAGCTGACTATAACACTCACTGAGGGTGTCAACTGAATTAAGTCCAACTGTAAATGTTGAAGGGTCCATTAAGTGGTGGAAATGCACCATAAGAAGTTTTTGTTGTCTTCCCAAGATTATGGGTTTGGCAAACCAAAAATTGATTATAAATAATTTTGGCAATTATAAGACAATTATTCCACCAGTATTTTTTAATCATTTGGACTCAAACTATGTTCATCACTTACATAAGTGATCCTCTGACCAGAAGCAATAACAAGTACAGAGACTCTTAAACTTGCTCCTAGTGTCCTCTCAGGAGGAACAAAAGCATTATAGGATGGAGTGTGCTTTTTTATCCAGCTGTCGGTAGCAGTAGAGAGGTTGGGGAGCTTTTGAAGAGATAATTCTAGAACTGCAGACTGTTAAATTGCTCCAAACAGAATCCATTTTTTAAAAAATATTTATTTTTAGTTATAGGTTGACACAATATCTTTAATTTTTATGTGGTCCTAAGGATTGAACCCAGTGCCTCATGCATGGTAGGTGAGCACTCTACCCCTGAGCCACAACCCCAGCCCTCTAATTTGTTTTTGACATTTTCTGAAGCCTTCAAGAAAGCAGAAATTTCATTGGCAACAGGATGAAGTAAAACTGTACTATTCATGAATTGTTTATGTCAGATAGTGTTACATGTAGTTGTTTGGATATAAATGGAAACCATCCATGTATGCTCAATCAACTACTTCCATATACAAATTAGCTACCTCATGATTGATTGCTGAGCCAATTGGTAATAGGATGGAACACATACCAATTTATAAACTGGCAGAATCCTTAAGATCTGATTTTCAATAGATGTTACAAATGCGTTAAATCTCTTCTGGACTTGTTTGACACTGCTTCTTATTTTTGCAGAAGAACCAATTGCTATACCAAATATACATCATATCCAAACTTGCAAATTGATACAACTTCAATTTGTGTTATTTCTGTTCTATCTTCTGCAGTTTCTTGGGGGATAAAATAATTGTGGTGGTGCTCATCTCAGACATGATGCAGGCAGATCACCTTTTGACTTCTGCAGCTGTCAAGTTGGCATGTAGTACATTGGTTAAGAAGCACAAAAGATAATCCCAAGGGTTATTTCAGTGAGTCTCCCATGCCATACCAGATCCCGAAAGTCCTTTCCTTTTCTTCTGAATTCTTCTACTGGACCAATTACAGATCCTTTGGTCCCTGTTCCCTGTAGAAATTGCTGGAAAATAACTGGAAAGTTATAGTTGTGAGAGTCCATTCTCTCCTGACAGGGTTTATGGCTGCCTGGTTTTTCTGGCATTTCAGTTGTGGCAGGAAATAGTCTTTGATATATTTTGAGTCCAGATGCTTCACTGTGATTCTAAGTGAGCTCTGTAATCTGCACTGGTTCTTCCTTCTCTTGCCTGCAGGATTATATAATGGATGAATTAATCTTCTGCAAAAAACCCCTCAGAGACTGAATCTAAAAGTCAACAATTTCCTTTCTTTCCTTGGTCCCACTTTGAACAAGTTTTGAAAGGGTTATTAATATCCTCTTTCCATTCTGTTTTTGTCATCCACTTCAAGCTTCCCCAGGTCCCAATGTCATATGCATAAGGTGGTAGAGGTCAGGGAGTCTCAGATTTTAAGTTCCTATGAGAATTCTAAAGGTCTGGAAAAATTTTTTGAGGAATTTCTGTTAGATTTGGATTCTCTTATGCTGGCTCTAAGTTCTGTCTCAGAACACGGGGCAGAAAAGATGGCAGGTAACGTTGGTTGGTCAGAAGGCATCATTCTATTTAGCATTTGTCTTTTTATCTTCAGAAAAAAAAGGCAACTGGATAAAGGGTTAGTGGAATCAAGAATATTTAGATAAAGAGAGAGAAGAGTCAGAGTTTTAGTTCAGTTATTAAAGTACAGACTTCTTTCATCATGCCCTTAGTTTGTTGCTTAAAGCTTAACTCCTTTTTCTTTATTTACCTTTTTTTTTTTACCTTTATTTATTTTATGTAGTGCTGAGGACTGAACCCAGGGCTTCACACATGTGAGGCATGTGCTCACCACTGAGCCCCAATGCCCAACCCTTAACTGCTTTTTCAAAAAAAAAAAAAAGGAAGCAATTTCTGATGCATTAGATTTTCTAGATATGTCTACATAAGAATTAAAAAATATACCCTATTGTATTGTCGTTTTTTTTTTTTTTTTCCTTTTCAGTGCCAGTAATTGAACTTAGTGTCTTGTACAAGTACTGTCCTGTTTTAGCAGTTTTGTTTTTTGGGTTTTTTTTTTGGTGCTGGGATTGAACTCACCGCACCCAATCACTGAGCCACATCTCCAGCACTATTTTGTATTTTATTTAGAGATAGGGTCTTACTGAATTACTTATAGCGCCTTCCTTTGCTGAGGCTGGCTTTGAACTCACAATGCTCCTGTCTCAGCCTTCTGAGCTACTGGGATTACAGGTGTGAACCTAGGTACCTGACTTTTAGCAGGGTTTAAAAAAAAATCTGTTTTTCACATATGACTTGTAATTCTCTCCAAATTAAAACCAGCGCCACTGCTTTTAAGTTGTTTAAAGTTAGATTAATCCATTATCCCCAAAATGCACATGTTCTGGGCCCATAATTTTAATACATGAATCTAGACRGGAGTCCCAGAAAGTGGAGTCTTGCAATTCTTTAATTGTGAAGAGCCTATAAATAATTGAAGAAATAAACAAAAACCAAAATAAGCAAATAAACAAAAACCAATCTGAGTCCCTTAACTGGATCTATTCCAGTTAAAAGTGTTAAATCCAATTTGACTTGAACCCTAATTCATATTTTGTCTGTTAAAAAACAACTGAGGCATCTTATCTGAATCCAATTCAGGAAAGTGGGGTGGGAAGAAAGTAGGGTGAGGGGAGAAAGAGAAAAGAATAACAAAGTTTGCTCAGATAAACTTGTAGAGCTGAGAATCCAAAATGAGTGGAAGCATGAGATCCAAGAAACTTAACCCAGGGCCTTTAGATGCTATAAGACATCACCAGGCCCACAGTGTGGTTGTGGGTAGTTCGTGTAGAGGCTTGATGCTTCTGGGACACACTGTAAGTTCTACTTTGGACCCTACTAACTATGCCAATTTGTTAAAGACAAAACCAAGATGAGTTAACTTTAAAAGCTTATTTAAACAACAAATACATGGAACTAGGCAGTGCATCAAGCCAATAATGGTTCAGAATGCACCRCACCTACAACGTGGTGAACTGTATTTATAACCAGAAAAACAGGAAATGTACAAAGTAGTGCAATTCAGCACTTGCCTAATTAGGGCGCAATTTGGCAGCCTTCAGCCCGGGACTGGCTGAGGCTCAGTTGCTTGGTTACCAGGGTATACTCTTAAGTTAGGTTACGACCTGTATGCACATCAAGCTAGGGTGCCTGTCTCTCATTTTGGAGGCTACTTGGGCCAAATTTTCTGCAGCATGGTAACCAGTTTAAGTCAAATTTACTTCCCAGAACCCATAAGAACAGCACGGGGCACGAAGTAAAACACGTAATTCCTGAGCTCTCCTCTGCCATGTGGACAGGAGCAGGCGCCAAGCTGCAGCGTGCGACCGAAGCTGGCAGGCCCCAAGAGGCGGCCCAGATCCGAGTTCCGCACCCACGTGGCCACACACGCACCTAACGGCTCACACCAGCTCAAAGTCCAAGGGCAGTGGTCTGGCTTTGGCCCTTGGACTTAGCGAGCTCCTGCCCAAGCCGCGGGAGTCMTGAAAGTGATAAACGCACCACAGTCAGGGTCCCACTTCTCTCCCGCAACTCAACTCCCGGCCGGCGCGCCGCCGCCCAAACCACGGTGGCAGAGGACGGGCGGGGAACCGGAAGCCAAGATGGCGACATCCCGCCCTCCTCTCGCGACTGGCGAGAAAAGAAGAAGGTTGGGCGAACGACAGGGACGTAGCCAATGAGAGGACGGGGCGCGCGTGACTGGCGGCTCTCGCGGCCTCTCTGCAGGCCCCGCCCCGGCTGCGGAGGCTCGGTCACCGCCCGCCGCGCCCTCTCCTCTTGGCCCTCCTTCCTCGCCCTGCCCAGCTCAGCTCTTCCCGTCTGAGGTGGCGGTCGGCCTCGCCTCCTGGTCAGCTCCATTTTACCTCTCCTCCGCTTTTCCCTTTCTCTCGGCCCGAAACGGCCTGAACACCTTACCGCCTTCTTAGGGTGGCCGCAGAGCCTCTGCGCTTTCTCTGTTCCCGGATCCTCGATCCTCGCCCCCCCCACCATGAATGAGGAGTACGACGTGATCGTGCTGGGCACCGGCCTGACGGTGAGCTGCGGGCGGAGGGTGCGGGGCGGCCAGCGATGTGCGGGCCTGGGGGGCGTCCCCTCGCTCGGTCTCCCGGCCTGGCCTCGACTCCCTTCCCATCCGGCCGCCCGGGTGGCGGTGGACGCACTCCCCCGGGCAACAAGACGGTCCAGCGTCCGAGACCTGCCGGCCTGAGTCCCCTCGAGGGCTGTCTTTTCGTCGTCGGCCTTGGTTTTCGGGGAGGGGGACAAGGCTAGTGGAAATGAACAGGTTTGAAGGAAGCGGGCTTTCTCCAAGTTTGCAGCGAAACAGCAGGAAATGGAAACCCAKGCGGTGCATCTGTGGAGCTAGTCAGTCGGGTAGTAACGGCCGAATAAAAGCAGGTGAGAAGAAGCTTCACCCTTATGCAGAAATGAAGAGGAAAGGGAAAAAACCTTGCCCTGGGGTGCCGCTGCTCCTTTACTTCCCTTTTGGGTCTGTGACCTATCCCGATTGGAAGCGGAGAAGCACTAGGCGGAGGGGGGAGGGTGTAAACCACTCTCAGTGGCGTTTCCTATTTAGTCTGCAGCCACTGCTACTCAGTATTGGCTGCCAAACCAGGGAGGTTTCGTGACAAGTTATTGAATAGTTATTTCTTTCTAATTGCTAGAGTTTTAAGTTTTTGAAGAAAATGCGGAAATTAGCTTTTCTTTCTTTTTTAAATACCTCTTCCTGCCAGTAAGTTGATTCCTTTAAAGCACTTTGTCAACCCACTTACTGAGCATCAATAGAATTGGAAGTTAGTTTTCTCAAAACTTGGATGTCAGATGCTTTTGCACCTGACTTTTGCCATCTTTCCCTTTTGTTTGGTTTGCTTCCCGCCTCCACTGTCTCTTCTGACTGCTTTGTATTAAGAAACTAATGGGTGATGGATTGCTAGAGGCCAAGGTCTTTCTACTACTCAACTCCCTTCAGGGAGTTAGAAGATAAATCAATAACATGAAGAGTGAATTACTAATACACAAATGCAAAGTATATCTAATACCATAGTATGTTTATTTTTCTGTGCATCTGTCTGCTTAGAGATCTTTAGATAATATTTTGCAAACAATGCAGGCAGGTTTTGTATCTAGTAACTTTTCTGTTGCTTTTTAAAAGAAAAGAAGGACTGTTCTTGCAGAAGAATTCCAATTTGTAGACAGAAACATTTAACTATCAGCTTTTTGGGGAAATTTGAAATTTTGACAGGGCTACTTCATCATGAATACTGATCCAGAAGAACACTGATGTAAATCTTGTGAATTCCTTATAGTTGGACTTCAAATGCCTGAGTCATTTAATGTAAATCACTTCTTCAAGTTTGTTGAAATATGTTTTCTCAGGATCAAATTAATTTTTATAAAGCTTACACTTTATAAAATAACTATTTTTGATTTCTCTAGGTAAGAGAAAACTTTTGACATTGTATTTGGCTAATTTTTTTTATAGGAAAAAGTTATCTTTCTGTTTATAGTGATTTATGATGATTGTTGAACACTCATTTCTTAATACTTTATTATTTGACCAGTCCAGAAATAGACTTGTGACAGTCTAGGAAATAGTACCAAACAGATGCAGTTACTTCTCCAGAAAATCATTTGGTCGTTTAAATGTGGGGAATTTGGTTGAATTTCTTTTTTTTATGCCAAGTTGGGAAGAATGTTGGATGCCTAAATGAATAGGCCTACCCACTGCAGGTTTTTTGTTTTTGTTTTTTTAAGTACCTAATTGGGATCTCAAGCTGAATTTAGTAGTTTGTGGTGGATTTTGGCCATTGGAATGTGTACTGTTGCTGTCAGCGTGTTGTAAGAGCCAGTTRGTTCCACTCTTTTTTTTTCCTATGATTATTGCTAGTCTTTCAAATTTACTCATGATTCAGGTTAGTTAAACATAGACAAGTGAGTACAAATCCATCATCACGCAGGTTTCCACCTGCCTAGTTCAGAAACATCACTTTGTATCAAAGATGATACACAGTCTTATAGGATAACAAACAAGATAGTATACTTCATTTAAATTTGCATTTGGACTGTGAATTTTTTGATGAATGGTGGATACGTACTTACCATTTTCGGTTGTCATTTTATAGCTATTGATGATAACTCTTTAATCTCCTGTTAGTTTCCTGTATTATTTTGTGAGATGTTCTTTTGAGAATTATATCAATTCAGGGTAATCACATTGTTACCATCATTGGTAGGAGTAGTCGCAACAGGGGGATTCTGAGTTTTAGTGATACCAGGACTTAGATGACTGGCAGTTCAATGAGGMGATCTCCAAAGTTAAAAACTTTCAGTTCCAAATTAACTTTGAGTTTCTAGAGTTAACATGCAACTTTGTTTCCTTAATTTTTGGCTTATAAATATTTAGTGCCTAAGATTTAAGACCCTAATAAAGGCATATATTATGATGTATGGATACTACATATTACATGATGTTCCCTTGTGTCTGTACTTTGACTGTCAGAAACTTTTACTTGTAAATAAGTGTGAAGAACTGTTGGAGATTTGTATATTGCTTTAGTGGCATTGTTTACATCAGTTAAGTCTAATTAGCTCATATTAATCCACAATTTTTTCCCATTTTATTTTACTTATTGTTAGTTTTTACAAACAATAGATTTGCTACGACATACTGTAGCTCATATTGAATTAAAAAATTTAACACATTTCCGAAATTTAAAAGGTATACTATAAGGAGTCTTAGGACTGTTGTACAATAATGTTACAAATGGTATAAAACTGTAAAATATGAGCCTGCTGTCGGGATAACATCCATTAGTTACATTTAATCCACAGATATTGATAGTAACTTTAATAAAGAAAACCTAAAATGATTTGGTAAAAACTAAAAATGAGTGTTCTATATAAGGAATTGTGAGTTATCCCTTTAAAGAACTATAGATTTGGGGTAAAAAACTTTCTAAATGATATCAAAACTTCTTTAACAAACGAAAGAACATTATTAATTTACTTTATAACTAAGATTTCACATCACGAGGATTAATTATTGTTTTAAGCTATAACCGAATGAAGCCATTAAGACCTAGTAAGCTCTGTAGGAACTTGGACCCCCCACTCCTTTCCCATATTGGGGATTGGATACAGGGACATTTAACCACAGAACTACATCCCCAGCCATATTTATTTAGAGATAGGGTCTATATTGTACTATATAATATATTCTTTTAGCAATGTAGAAACAATCTTTTATTATTGGTTTAGAAGAATCAATGGATTTGCAGATTTTTTATTAGCTTCAGTTAACTTTTGTTGTATTTGTTCCAGGTGATAACTTTGAAGGTAGTTACTGTCAGCTCTTTGATTCTGCTGCGTCATTCAATTATTGGACCCCTTTATTTTAGTTCTCAGCTTTCAGTGATTGCTTTAGATCCAGTAGATCATACTTTCTTTTGCAGTGGAGTGTGAAAAGTTATATGTGGAAGCTATTCAACATTCAAAGGTTGTTTGCTGTGATTTTTCTCTTCAAAAGTTTAACCCTGAGTCTACTTTGTTAGCTGGGAATATGAGGGGTCTTCCTGTTTTTTAAATTTTTTTAAGAACCTACTTTCAAGACATAATACTATTTTACTTTCACATATTACATTGAACTATATATGTTAGTACTTTATTTGGCAAGTTAGCTGTTTTAGATGATATTAGGGCTGATTTTAGTAGTTGTAAAATACTTTCAGTTCTGTTCACCAAGATATCATTAAGAAAATGAAAATTAAGCCACAAAATGGAAGAAAATCTTTGTGTTCCATGTAACCAAGGAAGGACTTAACAGAATATATAAAGCACTTTCATAAGGCAATAAGAAAATGACAGGAAGCCTATAAAAAGTGAGTAAAAAACTTGAAACTTATTAAAAAAAGATATCTAGTCTTAATCAAATACAAAAGTACGAAACTTCATTAATTAACAGGAAATTCTTAATGAGAATGGGCTAAAATTAAAGACAACATAAAGTTTTGGGCAAGGATTTGAAACTCCAAGGACATTTTTCATATAATACTTAAAAGCATAAATTATACAACTATTTTGGAAAGCTGATTGACAGTATTTGCTCTCCTTGATAGTTAGCTACAGAAATGTATACTTGAAAGTTATGTTAGAGTGTTCATAGAGCATTGTTTGTAATAGTCAAAAACTGGATACTTCCAAGTGTGGACCAATAGTAGAAAGGATAAGAAAAATGTGGTATGTCCATTCAGGGGAGACTTCTACAGCTTTGTTACCCAGTGTATGGTCCATAAATCAACTGAAGTTTCAGAAGCTTCAGGATCTGCTTAGGACATGCCAAGTCAGGATCTACACTTCAATATTCTTTGCTTGGCGGATTAGATATTCCTTCTGAACTGGTATAGAACAGTAAATATTTTAGGTTTTTCGGGCCATATGATCTCTGTCACAATTACCAAACTAGGGCAGTGTGAAAATAACTGTGCATAATATGTACATAAATGGGGCATGGATATTTACCAATAAAACTATATTTAAAAACAGTAGTATGCATGCTGAATTTGGATCATGTACCTTAGGGATYCCTGCTTTGTGGCAATGTGAATAAACAAATTAGACCTCACACAAAACGTGAATGAATCTTTTAAACATAATGTTGAGTAAAAGATGCCAGATCAAATAAATACCACATGATTCCTTTTATATGGAGTTCAAAAACAGAACAAATTGTTGCTGTTAGAAGCCATAAGAATGATGATGATGGTGGTTATGAGTGAAACGGCATGAGTGACTTTCAGAACATAATGTTTTGTTTCTTGAGTCATAAAAAACTATGCATAATTGTATACTAAAATTGAATCTGATAGTTTTAATCATTTAAGAAATATCAAATAAATACATACATTATAGAGGAAAATTGAAAATTGTATGAGTTAAGAAATAAATATTTCAAAGTCAAATAGATTATTTGGGGAATGAGATTATACTTCTCTGCTATATAGGGTATTTTGGGCAAATTTGAGAAATTCTAAAATTTATAAATGTATGTGGAATTTCCTTTGTCTTCTTAAAAAATTAATCACTGATCCACAAAATTCTGGTATAAGGAATTCTGTTGTCAGTTTATTAATGGTTATCCTTTATTTTGGATGCTTTTATTCTGGATGCTTCTTCCTTAGGGCTCTATTTCTCAAACATTTTGGTGTAGATTCTGTTTCCACTCTTAAAACTGAAGATCATAAAAAACTCATTTATAAGGATTGTTTCTGTCAATATTAGAAATCAACAGAAATAAAAAATTAATCTACTTTAAAAAACAGTAATAAATCCATTACATGTTAACATGCTTGACAATTTTATTAAATGTAACTATTTTTCAAAATCAAGATTTATGAGATCATTATTGTCTTACATTTTCTGCAGATCTCTTTAATGCCTGACTTTATAAAAACTCCTGTATTCAATCTGTTGTGATAATTGTCTATCAGAAATTTATGAAAATAATCAGACCACACAAAAGTGTAGGTGGATCAAGAACGGAATATAATAATACAGTCTTTCAGATTGTTGTTGAAATTTTTTTACATACATGAAAACACTAGCATCAATTTTTGAAAAGATGAATTGCAATAATAACCCAACAATTCATCAATGGTTTGATATTCTTTTTTTTGTATGTGGTACCGGGGATTAAACTCCAGGGCACTCGACCCCTAAGTCACATCCCCAGCCCTATTTTGTGTTTTATTTAGAAACAGGGTCTTACTGAGTTGCTTAGCACCTGGCTTTTCCTGAGGCTGGCTTTGAACTTGCCATCCTCCTGCCTTAGCCTCCCGAACCGCTGGGATTACAGGCGTGTGCCACCTTGTCCAGAAATGGTTTGATATTCTGATACATTGAAATTCATTGGTAAAGTTTGCACTGTGAATTCCCTTTTTTCTCCTGCATGATTTTATAACATTTTTCCTATGTCWTTTGGAAAATATGCAAATCTTTCCAATGTTAACACATTTCATTTTCCAATTTAAAAAAATCATATTTGTTAATACTGTTACTGAARTGTCATTTAAAAGTCAGTATTAGGGACCTGACATACATGCCCAGGTTTTCAAAAATTCTAATTATCACTCACAGTTTTAACTTGTTATTGGCAACAAATAATGTCAGTTACTTTCCTTTATATTCATTTTTGAGAAAATGCCTGACAAATACCTAAGCCTAATTAATCATAGTTTGTCAGTCAGTTGGTTTTTAAAATCAAAATGATGATCTGTGAAAAAAGTAGCTAGCTCAGCTTACTTAATCCTGAGGTGTAAGTGTGTATTTCCCATTTTATTATACAGAAGATAAAAAGACATATTAAAGGGTATGYATTTTAATAGTTAATTTCTATGCTTCATTAAAGGTATCTCTTAAGCGAGTGCCTGTTAGTGAAGAATATAATGACTGCTAGTTTAGAGCCTCTGTTCTGTTTTATCAAAACACCATTGATTTTGCATCATCAGTGCAAATGCAAACCTAGTTTTTGAAAAGTGACTCAATGTTCTTGGTGTTATTATGAAAATAGTTTTATCTTGGGACCCACTGGGATCCAAGACCACACTTTGAATCTTGGTTACTTTAGGGCTTTCTTCATAGAATATGTCATGTTGCATGAATATAACCGTTAGTTACTAAGAAGATTCTTCGCCCCCTCTGGTGCCAAGGATTGAATCCAGGGCCTTGTGCATTCGAGGTAAGCACTCTACCAATTGAGCTATCCCAGCCTGAGAATTCTTTTTTTTAACTAAGAGAATTCTTAATTTCTTAGTGACTGGTTTTTGAAGGTTTTAAATATGTTGTGGGACTTGCCTTCTTCTAAAGATACTTACGTTTTCCCTATAGGAATGTATTCTGTCTGGTATAATGTCAGTGAATGGAAAGAAGGTTCTTCATATGGATCGAAACCCATATTATGGAGGAGAGAGTGCATCTATAACACCACTGGAAGATGTAAGTGTTAATAAAAATAAACATGCCTTTTGTATTTTGAATGTTTTCCCAGTAAATCTTCATTTTAATCCCGAGAGATGGTTTTATTTATTTATTTTTTAAAATTTACTAAGTAGAAAGTCTGGAGCACATAATTTTGTAGGAGCTTCTTTTGGGGGGCTGTAGAAGTTTTAATTGTGACCTTTTGTTGCCATCTAGTGTCTATTATCTCTCAAAGCTAACAGAATATAGACTAGGAAGATTGATAGCAGGGGGCCTAACATACCAAGCACAATGCCAGTGCTTTCCACTTGATCTTATTTATTCTCTCAGTCACTCAAAGGCATATTTTTATCCCCATTTTTCAGGCTACAAAATAGTCTCTGTGTGGTTAAAATCTCAGGGTTTGGTTGTGAACCTGTGTTCTAAGCTTAGTTCCCTTTGCTTTAGTAGTCTATTTTCTGCCTTTTTAGGATAAGACCACTWGAAACATACATAAAAAAAAAWTTTTTTTTCTGGTGCTAAAGGATCAGACCCTAGGCCTTGAACATTCGAGGCAAGTTCCCTACCACTGACCTACATCCCCAGCTGCACATSAAGTACTAAATGTGTTATACTAAACTCACTTATAAATTTCTCGGTGTGGGGCTTGTTGAACATCCGCATGTATCCACCATTAATGATGCTTATAACTTGGACCTCTTGGTTCAGGTGATGGCCACCAAATTTCTTTATATACAGTCTGTGGAGGGATTTGCTGTCACCATTCCTTCCACACTGAGCACATTTATTAGCTGATCTTTAATAAGTTGAACACATTTTCTTTTTTCTCCTTTTTCTTTTTAAAATTTTTTTCTTATGGTGAATATATTCAGATACTTGAATTTTTATTATGTATCTRCCAACTTTGTTTTATGTTATCAGTAGGATTCATGAAATTGAAATAATATTCTYAAATTTTAAACTGCAGGCTTCCTTTTATCAAAGTTTCTACTCAATTTAGAAATTATAAGTTARCTGTTCCTACTGCTAAACACCCCAAACCAAAACCCCCCAGAAAAAAAACAACACAAAGAAGTTTTGGGGAGTGATGGATATATTTGATACTTTTCGATGGTGTTCATAGCCACATACTATTCTCTAGATTTATCAGAATATATACGTTAAGAGTGTGCATTTTTTTGTATATCAGTTATACCTAATAAAACTTAAAAAGTTTTGCTCTGTTAACTAGAATTAGTTTTAATTATCTTTTCTAGTTTGAAGGATCCAAAATTTATTTTTAGCTCCTAATATAACTACAGAAGCAAAGTTAGGGTGGGTTAACTGGACATTATATGGTCCCTAATATGCAGTGTAATGTAATCAACAACAATTTCTTACAAACTATCCTAATCTTCTCAAAAGAAAAAAAAAGTGAGAAAACTTTTGAATGAAGATGAGAATAAGAAGAAACAAAAAAAATGCAATGCTTGAACCTTTAGTTAATTGTGGTTTGAAAAACAAAAAGACTACTAAACAGCTTCATAAATCTTTTGTTAGCTTTTTATGTGGGGGAAGAATGAGTTCTACCAATAAGGAATGTACCTACAGAACTACTAGTGTCACTAATAAATAGTCTCTTGTTTTGTTTTATTGCTACTAAAAAACAAATTAAGGGGCTGGGGATGTGGCTCAAGCGGTAGCGTTTGCCTGGCATGCGTGTGGCCTGGGTTCCATCCTCAGCATCACATGCAAAACAAAGATGTTGTGTCCGCCAAAAATTAAAAAATAAATATTAAAAAATTCTCTCTCTCTCTCTCTCTCTCTCTAAAAAAAAAAATTAAAACTTATGTAATATTTTGTTTATTTTAGCATTCACAAATTGATCAATCTGTCTTATTTATGTATGTATTGGGACCTTGATAAACATTTTATCTGATAAAATATGAAATGCCCTCCTACCTTACCCTACTGTATTGTAGTAGTGTTTTGTTATTATACCAAAACCACATAATCAAAAGTATTATATAAAATAATGGAAAATTAAATTTTGTTACTTTTTGTTTTGTTTTTAGTTATACAAAAGATTTAAATTACCAGGACCACCAYCAACATCAATGGGGAGAGGAAGAGACTGGAATGTTGACTTAATTCCCAAGTTTCTTATGGCTAATGGTAAAGAATTCTAACTTAATTTATGAAAGTATACTGGATCTTATTTGGAGGTAGAAACTACCTCTCAAAGAGAGAATATTATTATGTGTGTGAGGAACTGGATTTTGTTGAATTGCAATAGTATGGTTAATGATATATGGTCCATTAGAGGTGTCTGGAGTTAGTAAGTTAAGAATGGAGAGAAATGCGTGTGGTTTATTACTAAATGGCTATAGAGAAACAAAGTTTTGTTTTTTTTTTTCAAATATATTTTTAGTTGTTGACAGACCTTTTTTATTTATTTATATGTGGTGCTGAGAATCAGACCCAGTGCCTCACACATGCCAGGCAAATGTGCTACCGCTGAGCTCCAGCCTCAGCCYGAGAAACAAAGTTAAGATGTAGCAAGATACATGCCAAAATTTTGTAAGCATTTTGTAAATGTAAGTTTTGTAAAATAAAATTGGAAGCATTTGACATAGCTATAAACATTGGTACAATTAGGATGTGGTGTAGTACATACCAGAATTGTAAACATTTGTAACTGACTTCTCTCTCTATGCTTTGTGGACAATTTTAGATAACTGACCCTTTAAAAACTTAGTCATCGTAATGTTTTTTTTGTGTAGACTTTTAAAATTATTTTTCATATTAATTTTCTCTCATCATAGAGGCATGAAATATCTTTTTAAATTATTAGTACTTGAGGTGACATTGGAAAACTAAGTTCTTGGTTATCAAAGCCTATGTTTTATGAATAAAAGTATGTGCTACCCTTTCCTTTTATTCTTTTGTTTCTATTACATTGTTTAATAGAAAGAGACCTTATTTGAATTTTCTCTAAAATTTGCTAAATTCTTTTGGGGTAAACTCTAAAAAAAGTTTGCTTAAGTAATATTTAAACTAGTAAGCAGTTAAGTAGAATGAAAAGCAAATTTACCTAATTATAATCTCACCATCTAGATATAATTATAGTTAATATTCTGGTGTATGACATAGTAGTTTTGGTCCCAATTAACTTTTTTTTTTTTTTTTTTTTTTTTTAGCCAGTATGTTATGAACGTGCATGCACACGCGACAAACCCCGTTTTATACTCAGAATTGTATTATGGAGACAAAGATAATAATCTTTTTCAAAAGTCTTTTCCTTTTTATTGCCACATTTTATTTTTACCAGTGATATTATCCTACCCATTTCCTAGTATCTTATCAACCCTTATTTTGGTTGATATTTTGTCATTGAGAGGTAAATTTGGTTGATATTTTGTCATTGAGAGGTAAAATATGAACTTTAAAAGTATCTATTTTTTTAGAGGATAGAATGAGGTTTACTTACTGACTGACTTTCCTCCTTAGTAAATTGGCCAGCCTTGTGCTGGTACATTTTTCCATTGAGCTTTTTGTGTTTTTCTTTATTGATGTGAAAGAGCTCTTTATAACTAAGATTACCATTTTAAAGTTATGCAATTTGCCTAATAATCATTAAAATTTTTTCTATACTCAAGGCTTTTTTCATGTCATATTGGTTGATCTTTTTTTGTTTCATTGGTTTTTATTTGCAGGTGGTTTATTTTTGAAATTTTCTTTTCACCTTGCCTCAAGTTATTAGAATACTAATGGTTGTTTTAATGATTTGACAATTTCATTTTTTTGTCATAAATTTTTACATTTTACCGTTTAATATTTTCATCTATTGTATGAAATATATCTGCTTTGTTGTCCTATTGGTTGAAAAGTAGAGATTGAATGTGTATGTAGCTCAATGGTAGAGTGTTTCTCCAGCATGTATGAGGCCCTGGGTTCAGTCTCTGGGAACACATACACATATGCACGCACGCATGCACCCCGCCATACACAAAATAAGTAGAGATTGAAGTTTATTATTCAAAATGGCCAACCACTTGTCCTTCAATACCATTCTTTTTTTTTTCTATTTTGATTTTAAATTTTACCAAACATTAATTTGTTAACACATTACATTTTTACACRTGGTATCTACATATTATTTTTCCCCAATTTGGGGACCAGCTAATATAATTGTATAGTAATATCTGTACAACTATAATTATATTTTAATATCCAGTTATGTCTTTCAATACTTTATTTCTTGCTCTCAAAAGAAAAAAAGAAAATTGATCTTTTTGACAACCCTAGTGTGTGTATCTTCAAATCAGCTTTAAAATAAAATTTTGGTTTCACAAGTTTGCTGTTTTTTACATAAGAATTTTTAGGCTTATAGGAAGGTAATATTTTTACTTGCATGCCTGGCTCTTTCTATATCTGGTGTTATGTTCACTTTAATAAATATAAATTGACTTGGAAACTGAAATATTTTGGGAGTTGTTTCTTTGAAATATGATAGAAACTGTTAAGCAGCTTAAATCCATTTGCAGTAATACTGCAATTCTAAATCTAATGCCTCTAATATCTTTTACCCTTGGCAAAGCAAGTTCATAAGAATTATTAATGCTGAAGTCATAATGTTAGAAAAGAAACTTCTAACTATGTAGTAGGTATGTGCCCTGGTTTACCATTTAAAATATGGCTTTGCAGATTTGTTTTGTAAGAGCTATTGGACAATGTTAAGAAGAAATTGGGAAGCCGTTAGTATTAGTAAATGTGCGTTTATTTCTGTTAATTTTTAGTGGTAGCAAGATTTAAGTTAAAGTTTGAATTCTATGACTTTTCTAGGTCAGCTGGTTAAGATGCTACTTTACACAGAGGTCACTCGCTATCTAGATTTCAAAGTGACTGAAGGGAGCTTTGTTTATAAGGGAGGAAAAATCTACAAGGTTCCTTCCACTGAAGCAGAAGCCCTGGCATCTAGTAAGTACATTCATTTTATCTTCTCAGTATAATTAGATTATATAGTAGAAAGAAATATCAGACATCAATCCATCCAGTCAACAAATATTTATTGAACGCCTTATTATGTGCTAGACACTGTTCTAGGCAGAAGAGAGTACATTAGTGATCTTTAACATTCTGTATGGTTAGGGAGGGGAGAAGGTTCTTTTTCATTGTCTTTCTTATAACTGCATGCTGCTAGTAGGAAGAGCTGAGGGTCTATTAAGTGATAGTTTATAGCTGTCTGTTCACCTTTTAGTATAAAAAGCAGTGAATGGATTATCTAGTGTTTCTCTAAGGTAAGTGACCAACAGGGCAACCAACATCCACATTTCTTTCTCTGTTAGATGCCAGAATATGTCTTAGCATTCAGAAGAGGAAAAGGAAGAGCATTCAGCATTTTAGATAGTTGGTTAAGTGTTGATTGGTTATCAAAGGAAGAACTTTGATATTGTTCCCTTCATAGATCATATTTTTTTCAAAGACTTACTTTCTTTGTATCTAATAAGAGACATAATTCAGGGGCTGAGGTTGTGGCTCAGTGATAGAGCGCTTGCCTCGCATGTGCGAGACCATGTGTTCGATCCTCAGCACCACATAAAAATTAATAAGTGAAATAAAGGTACTATGTCCAACTACAACTAAAAAATAAATACTTTTTAAAAAAAGTTTAAAAAGAAAGTACTGACTGTAATTACTTATAACTGGGGGTAAACTTAAAGACTTTATAACTAATCTATATTAATTGTGTGGGTTTTATTTTAAAGTGTTGTGAAATTGGAGGTGATGTTATCCAAATTTCTCATATCTTAATTTACATTTTGCCTTAGAGGGGCTAAGTTAATGATATTCATGTTTAAATTTTCCTCTCATACTCTCTCTTTTTTTTTTTTTTTATCTCTCAGTGTCCTATTGTGAGTGTATACTTTTTGAAAAATTCTTTTTTAGGTTTAATGGGACTATTTGAAAAACGCCGCTTCAGAAAATTCCTAGTGTATGTTGCCAACTTTGATGAAAAAGATCCTAGAACTTTTGAGGGTATCGATCCTAAGAAAACCACAATGAGAGATGTGTATAAGAGATTTGATTTGGGCCAAGATGTTATAGATTTTACTGGTCATGCTCTTGCACTTTACAGAACTGATGAGTAAGTTTTTTGKTTTTTAAGATTTATATTTTTCTTGGAATGCTGACTGAATTGAATTTCCCAGTTCTCCAAATTAGAAATTCTAACAGAATATATAACTGTGTTACACTATGAAAGAAGAGGCTCTAAATTCAAATTAATGTTGGAACCTTTTAAATGAATTAGGAAGTCAGTAGATTAAAATCTTTTCAATAAAAGATTTTTAAATTGAGCAACTAAAGAAAACTAAAACCCTTTTCTAATATTCATTTTCTTTCTAGCTATTTAGATCAACCATGTTGTGAAACCATTAATAGAATTAAACTTTACAGTGAGTCTTTGGCAAGATATGGCAAAAGCCCATACCTCTATCCACTTTATGGCCTTGGAGAATTGCCACAAGGATTTGCTAGGTAAGAGCCCATTTTTAACTGATTAGCTGATACCTCACTGATCCTGAACTTTATCTCAAATTGGTACGTGAGCTTTARTTTTACTAATGAGACAAGGTATGTCTCATAGTTTTCCTTTTTTCCCCATGGTGTTAAGAGTGTAATACACATGTTTGTAAGTGGTCTTCCTATGAGCCTTGTCCGCAGTCCTTTTATTTTTATTAAAGTGAAATTTATGTACAATGAAACATCTTTGGTTAAAAAAAAGAAAAAATTTGACAAATGTATTGACCCTGTATAACCACAACCAAAATATTTTCCTTATCCCAGAAAACTTCCTTGTTTTGTAAACAATACATCCTCTCTCCCTTGCATTACTTTTGTGATTTCTACCACCAGCTTATTTTGCCTGTTGTTGAAGTTCTTATCTAGGGAACAATACAGTGTGCATTCATTTGTCTCTGGCTTTTTTGTTATGTTTTTTTTTGGGGGGAGGGGTTTAAGGGGGATTGAACYTAGGGGCACTCGACCACTGAGCCACATCCCCAGCCCTATTTTGTATTTTATTTATAGAGAGGGGATCTCACTGAGTTGCTTAGGGCCAAACTTTTGCTGAGGTTGGCTTTGAAATTGTGATCCTCCTGCCTCAGCCTTCTGAACTGCTGGGATTACAGAAGGGCATCACTGTGCCTGGCCGTGGCTTTTCCTTTTGCTTAACATATTTAAATATTTTGGTTGCCCTGGGGATTGAACCTAGAGCCTCAGGTATGCTGGGTAACCACTCTACCACTGAGCTACMTCCTTAGCCCTGTCAGTCATTTTAATTTTAACCACCCAGTGAGTATAAAATGTCATATCATATGGTTTTAATTTGTACTTCCTGAGAAATAAAGTTGACTACTTTTTCATGAGCTTATTGGCCATTTGTATRATTTTGTTCTGTGACTGTTCAGGTCTTTGCAGATTTTTAAAGATTTGGGTTCTCTTTTTAATTTTTCATTTGTAGATCTTGATGTATTCTGGTGCCAAGTCTTTTGTCAKTTTCTTAGTCTCTGGCTTGTCTTTTGTAATTTTTACATTTTGATAAAGTGCCATATTTCAAAATTATCTTTTTATGTTTAAAGCCTTTTGTCTCCTAAGAAATCTTTGCTTTCCCTGAGGACACAAAGATACTTTTGTCTCTTTCTATAAGTTTTATTTTTGCATTTAACTCTGTCATTAATCTTGAAATAATGTTGGTGTGTGGAATGATGTAGGGCTTGAGGTTCATCTTTACTATACCTATATTTAGTATTTTAGCAGCATTTATTGAAAAGACTTTCTTTCCCAGGTAGTCTCGGTATCTTTGTGGGGAAATAATTTAGCCATATATATGGGTCTACTTTGGGATCCAGTTTTCTTCCAGTGATTTTGTGTTTTTTTCCTTATACTTTTACCACACTGTCTTGATATAGTTTTGTAGTAAATTTTGCAGTCAGGTAATGTAAGTCCAACTGTGTTCTTTTTAAAAATTTGTTTCATCTACTAAGATTCTTTGTGTTTCCATATACATTTTWAAATCAGCTTGTCTCTCCCCAGAAAAAATATTTGCTGGGATTTTGATTGAATTAAGTCAAGTCTAAGATTTGAGGGAAATATTCATCATCATAGTGAATTTTTCTATTTATTTTAAGGTTATTTGCTGCTAATACATAGAAATAAAATTCAATTTTTATATTTATGTCTTATGACTGGTTTATTAAACTAATTCACTTATTCTACTACTGTTATAGGTTTCTTAAAATTTTCACGTACACAATTGTGTTATGTGTGAGTTTAGAGTTTAAATTCTCCTCTTAACAATCTTGACGTGTCTTCCCTTCTCCTTGCCTTTATTGCAGTGGCTGGGTCTTCAAGAACAATGTTAAGGTGCTAAAAATGGACATTCTTGTCTTGTTCCTTGAGTTAGGGATGATGTGTTAAATATAATATTGTTAAATGTTTTCTGTAATTTTTTGATAGATGGTTTTATCAGATTAAATTCCTTTCTATTCATGGTTGGCTGAGAGTTTTTATTATGAAAAGGTATTGACATTGAGTTAATCATGCAGCTTTTCTTTTGTATGTTAAAATATTGAATTACATATTTATTTATTTGGTGGTGTTGGGGATTGAACCTGAAGCCTTGTGCATGCCAGGCAAGTACTCTGCCAACTGAGCTATATCCTCAGCCCTACAAATTTATTTTTTAATGTTAAGAAAAAAAACCYTGAATTCCTGGGATAATAAGCTCCATATTCATGATGCATTTTCTTGTTTATTGTTGGATTTAATTTGTTCATTGTGTGTGCATATGCAACTAATGCAGATAACAGATAATTGAATTGTGTGTTTCTGTTAATGATATTGTCTTATAAAGCTTGAGTGTTCTTATTTGTATCAAGGTTTGGTAGTCCATAAAATGTTTGGAAGAGTTTCCTCCTCCTTTGTTTTCTGAAAGTTTGTGAAGATTGCTATGGGTTTTTCTTCAATGTTTCATAGACTTGATCAATGAAACCATCTGAGCCTGGAACTTTCTTTGTAACAAGGCTTTTGATTATTAATTTTCTTTTAATAGAAATTAGGCTATTTGGGCTGGGGCTGTAGCTCAGTGGCAGAGCATTTGCCTAGCATGTATGAGGCACTGGGTTTGATCCTCAGCCCCACATAAAAATAGGCTATTCATATAAGCTATTTCTTCTTGTAGTTTTCATTTGTCCTTTTCAAGGAATTTGACCATTTCATATAAGTTTTTCAATTTACTGTAAAAAGCTGTGCTAACCCTTTTGATGTATGTAAGATCATTAGTGATTTTCCCTCTTTCATTCCTGTGATTGATAATTTATATTTTCTCTCTTCTGCTAGGATTTAATATCATTTATCTTTTTTAAAGAACCAAACTTTTAGCTTATTAATTTTCTCTGTAGCTGTCTTTATCAATTGCTTTTTAAAAATTTCTTCTCCCCCAGCTTTTTTTTWAGTTGTAGATGGACACAATATCTTTATTTATATTTATTTTATTTTATTTATTTAATTATAATATAATTATAAAAATGTATAATATTATATAAAAATAATATAAATTATTTATTTTTATTTTATTYATTTATCTTTATTTTATTTTTATATATTATTTATATTTATTTTTATGTGGTGCTGAGGATTGAACCTAGGGCCTCATGTTTACGRGACAAGCACTCTACCACTGAACTACAATCCCAGCCCTCTTCCCCCTTTTTTTGACTTTTATGATTGAAACACGTGGCTGATATTACATTTTTCACATGTAACATAAGTTAAAAGTTTAATTTTCCTCTAAATCTGTGTTATCCATCCTTGGTACCTCTTTCTTTTGCCACCCCCTCCTTTTAACCTTGAGTTGTTTGGAAGAATAATTATTTCTAAACATTTGGAGATTTTTCTTATTGTTATTAGTGTCTAATTTTATTGTGTTCAGAGAACAAACTTAATACAATTTCAGTCCTTGAAATTGAGACATATTTTATGGTTGAATATGTAATCTTAGTGATGAATATGCTCTGAAAAAAGAATGTGTACTCTGCATTTGTTGGTGGAGTATTAAGAACTGGTAGCCCGGTGTCATGGAGCACACCATAATCCTAGCAACTCATGAAGCTGAGGCAGAAGGTTTGCAAATTCAAAGCCAACCTCAGCAGCTTAGTAGGCTCTAAGCAATATAGCTATACCCTGTCTCTAAATAAAAAGTAGAAAGAGCTGGGGATATATAACTCAGTGTTAAAGTGCTTCAGGCTGAATTCCCTGGTACCTAAAAGAGAAAGAGAACTGGTAGAAAGATTGAAATATATGTCTTTTTCTAGTTCTATCAGTTTTCTTCTTTTGTGTGTGTGGTGCATGAGATTGATCCCAGCGCCTGGCTTATGCTAGGCAAGCACTCTACCACTGAGCTAGCTACATCCTGTATCAACACTGTTCCTGAAGACARCATCAGCATATAGTTGAATCTTTTTTTTGAGGGGGGGTCCATTGTGACAATGTTAGCTTTTTAATTGGAGAATTTAGTCCATTTACATTTAACATAATAATCCATACAGTTAGGGTTAGGTCTAGGTTTGCTACCCATCAACCCATGCTGTTTCCTGCTCCTGATTATTGGATTAATCAGATATTTTCTAGTATTGCATCTTAATTCTTTTTTTTTTTTTTAAAGAGAGAGAGAGAGGATTTTTTTAAAAAATATTTATTTTTTAGTTCTCGGCAGACACAACATCTTTATTTTGTATGTGGTGCTGAGGATCGAACCCGGGCCGCACGCATGCCAAGCGAGTGTGCTACCACTTGAGCCACATCCCTAGCCCCCATCTTAATTCTTCTAATGGGTTTTTGTCTTTACCTCTTTTATTGCTCACTCTACAAATTGTAATTATTTATTTATTWATTATAGTTTATATTTAGAGTTAATATTGTACCACATTATGTAAAGAGAAGAGCTTTGCAACACTATCATTTTTATTTACCATTTTCCTTTGTGCCTTTGTCTATATTTTTACTTCTCTTATACTTTATAAGCCCCATAGTACAGTGTTAATTATTTTGCATTAAATAATCAGTTTAAAGAGATGAACAGGGGGCTGGGGATGTAGCTCAGTTGGTGGAGTGCAAAAAAGATGAACAGAAGGGCTGGAGGTGTCGCTCAGTGGCAGAATGCTTGCCTAGCGTGCATGAAGCCCTGTTTGATCCTGGTACTTGCGGGGTGGGGAGGAATAGAAGGAAAACATTTTTTGAGTTAGTTAAGATTTGAAGAGATTTTTATCACAGATTTGTTGGCTCCTTCCTTTGTGGCTCTTACTTTTGTAGAGCCCCCCCCCCCCATGATTTTTATCTCTTGTGACACTTCAAAGTCAGTAAGGCTGTAGCCTTCCTGTTTCTGTTCTAGCTACCCCAAGTTAAAAGACTAGGAAAGTAGTTCCCTTGGGGAAAGCAGTATAAACCACACAGGATCTCAGCCAATTGATTACTGTCAAGTCTGTTCATCATTTTCTGCCTGCTCTAGGTATTCCCTAGGGCCTTCTGATAGTGTTTAGTTTTTAATATTCAGGAGGAGAAGACCAATGAATATAAGTTCTTCCTGTTGCTGGTCAGTGCTTTTTTTTTCCCMCTCTCAGTATTCAACTGTATAACAAATTTGCATTTCTTGTTCTATAATTCATACTGTAATAAATCAAACTAATATCCTTTTAGATGGGAATTGAGCAAATATATTGCCTATAATTCACATAGATCTAAGGAGGGAGACTTGAGCAATTGAAACATTTATTATAATTGAAATTTTTAAAAACTTTCTAGGCTGAGTGCTATTTATGGAGGTACTTACATGTTGAATAAACCAATTGAAGAAATCATTGTGCATAATGGAAAAGTGGTTGGGGTAAAGTCCGAAGGAGAGGTAAGTAACTTATACAATTTTAAAAATACTGTGTTCTTGTGAAGAAAATGTATTATCTACTAAGTATCTATTTTACTGTGGACATTGATGCTAGATTTCAGACTACATGAGATTTCTGCAGGAAAGTTGGTTTTATCATAGCTAAGGACTAATGTAGTTTCTTTGTCTTATTTTAAAAACAAACAACTTTTCTAGTGTGTCAGTTGTTATTTAAGACCCAAATGTCCAGCATTATGGATGGTAATTCTACATACTTAACAGTTAAGTATTCCATATTTAAATGGTGTGGACTGGTACTTGTCCACAAATTGYGGAGTTGGCGATCTCCACAGGTGGAGTTCTGAGTAGTTTTATAAATCTGAATTGTAGGTAGATCACTGGAAGCTGGTTATAATATCTATTCTAATTCAGWAGGTTTGAGGGGACTCTGCCGTTTTTTAAAAGCTCTCTCACTCAGGTCATAATATTCCTGGCCTGCCAACCACACATTAAAAATAAAGTATTACCTCATCCTTTTATTACTATACTACTTAATTTTTCTTTCATTTCACTCAGTTAACAGCTCTTGCAGTAGAGAATGCATTCTAAGTTACTGCCTGACGTATTATGTCTAAAATTCTAAAAATGTAAGCTTTATCTTAAACATTTAAACATTGAGTTAGGTGGGAATGCAGAGACATCCTGGAGGTGGTCTATTTTTTCTTGTTTAGATTGCATGGGAAATGAAGATTTGAGATAAGATTTTACTAGCCAGAATAAGACAGTGAATAATGGAGAAAAAATATAGGCCTGGCTTAGGAAAATAAAAGAGCCTAACAGCAAAGCATGAGGCAAGATTTTTCTTTAATATGATGTATATCTCACACTGATCCTAAGAGATACCGCTTAATGCTTCTTGGGTACATATAAATAAAAGACACAGCTGACTGAATGGCTGTGCTGGAATTGTAACACATCTAGGGATATATGTTAGGAAATGTTAGCTTTGTCCCTCCTATCTTCTGAGATGTTGAGTCTTCATGGTTTTATATTTTCCAGGCTACTTCTTTATAATCTTTTATCTTGATTGTCAGTACAATTGGTTTACCACAGTGACTACAAAATAATCTTGGTAGTCTCTAATCTTTTTTATATGTTCTTATAAGAAGATGGAATATGTATAGGACACTGTAGGATGATATAGGAAACTGAAGGATGATATTTTGTTTACTAGTGCTTTGACTGCCATTCTTTTATTAACTCCTAAAATGATGAAATGGCCAAATATTTTAAGGTAGGACAAATATTATTCAGATCTCACCATGTATACTACATATATAAATGGGTTCACTGGCCATGTAAGGTAGATGTTTTCTGTTTTTTTTGAAGACCTTTAAGGGGAAAAAAAATCATGAACAAAAAATTCCTTACAAATGGAGCCAAACACAAGACAAACTCAAAAAGTTAAGTTTAAAAATTATTTTGCTGTTCCTGGTGATATCTCCTGGGCTAAACACCAAATAATGTCCTTTTACTAGTTGGTCACCTGAACTTTTATTGTTAGCGATCTGTCATAACTACCTGTGCTTTCAGCACAATCATTGTTTGGGAGATACGGATAAATGTGTTAATCTGATTGCTTCAGGTTGTTTCTTTCTCTTGCAGGTTTTTCTTTGATTTCACTCTGCTGCACACAGCAAGAAAGCTCCCTTTTTTAAAGGAAACCTCAGGGCTTTGCCATGAAAGAGAAGGGTTATAATACATTACTCTTGGAGCTAAAGTCTTGCTTATAATGCAGTCTTAAGATTATGATTTTGGTCTATTTATAATGCTAGTCTTATATGTTCTTTTATTTTTTTGCCAGGACATGCAAGTATAACAACCATTATGTACAAAACTTATACTTCTTATTACTATGCAACTGTCCAAAAAGAATTTATAGGGATTGTTGGAAAAGCTATTTAACTAGTTATCTATGGTTAACTTTTATATTAATTAGTTCATGAATATAAGAAATTCTATTCAAGGGAAAATTATATTTTAATGTATTGGTTTGGAGTTTTTGTGGATCCGTATTCAATCTCAGGGTTTTGCATATATTAGACAAGCACTTTACCACTGAGTTACATCCCCAGCTCAGAATACTATTTAAAACACTATAAACACTGAATATTACATTAAAAAATCGTGCTCCCCCCTGCCAGTTTAAAAAGTTGTGATAAAATTACATAATACATGAAATTTATCATCCTTGCCATTTTAAGTGTACAGTTCCGTGGTTTTAAATACGTTAATAATATTTTACAGCCATCACCACTACACATCTCTTGTAGTCTTTTCATCTTATAAAACTGAAACTCTGTATGATTGAACAGTAACCCTCCACTCCGTCATCCCATTCCGTCTCTATGATTTTGGCTACTTTAAAATATGTGATATAAACAGTATTTATATTTTTTTGTAGCACTACTATCTTTAAGGTTAACCCAATTTGTAGCATGTCAGAATTTCCTTTCTTATTAAGGATATTCCACTGTATGTGTAAACCACATGTCACTAATCAGTRGATACTTGGGTGGTTTCCACATTTTAGCTGTTGTGATTAATACTATCATGAATGTTGGTGTACAGATTTTCTCTTCAAAACCCTGCTTTTCACTTCTTTTGGGTGTATATCCAGAATTTAAATCTCTTGATCATACAATAATTTTTTTTTTTAAGAAACAACCATACTGTTTTGATGGTGGTAGTGCCATTTTATATTCCCTTCAGTGGTGCAGTTTCTCACATCTATGCCAACATAGTATTTTGATAGTAGCCATTCTAATGGGTAGGAGGTGGTATCTCATTGTAATTTTAATTTGCACTTTGCGGATGATTAGTGATGTTTAGTGTCTTTACACTTATTAATAATAGGCCATTTGTTTTCTTTGGAGAACTGTCCTTTCAAACCCTTTGCTCATTTTTGAATAGGGCAGTTATTTTTTTTTATTGTTTTAGGAATTCTTGATATATTCTGGATATTAATCCCTTATCAGATGTATTCATGTACATTTTCTCCCATTCTGTGGGTTGCTCTTTTATACTGTTTTCTTCCTGCGATACAAAAATTTTTTCGTGAAGACTTGTCTGTTTTATTTCCTGGGTCTTTCATGCGTAAGAAATCACAAATTTAATACCATGGAGCCATTGCCCTACATTTTCTTCCGGGAGTTTTCATTATTTTATGTCATTGATCCATTTTAATTTTTATATATGGTGTTAGATAAGGGTCCATCTTCATTCTTTTGCTGTTGTTGAAAAGATTGTCCTATTCCTACAGATTGACCATGGCATCTTTGTCAAAAATCATTTGTAACTGTGATGGTTTATTTCTGGGCTCTTTCCCATCTCACTTGTCTTTGTCAGTCTTCATGCTAGTACCACTGTGTTTACTACCTAGTTGTTTAKTGAGTCCCATCTTGATCTTTTTCAAGATTGTTTTGGCCATTCCTTATGATTCAGCATGAATTTTAGGATGGATTTAGTTACCACAACATCATTAAGTCTTTTAATCCATGAACATGGGATTTCCCATGTATTTATGTTTTTATAAGATCTTTAAAAATGTCTTGTTATAGATTGCTCGCTGTAAGCAGCTCATCTGTGACCCCAGCTATGTAAAAGATCGGGTAGAAAAAGTGGGCCAGGTCATCAGAGTTATATGCATCCTCAGCCACCCCATCAAGAATACCAATGATGCCAACTCCTGTCAGATCATTATTCCACAGAACCAAGTCAATCGAAAGTCTGGTGAGTTTTGAAGACCTGCAGATGTTAGATTGCTTTGTGTCATCCTAAATTCCTAACTTTATGTGTCGTATCAAGAGACTTTAGTTTACATGTAGGAAACATAATATGATCCTTTTAGATTCTAGGGATCCTGCAGCATTGTGTTGAAGTAAACTAGAAGCCCTGCTTTGGACTTGTATCCATCACTTCTGGTCTCAGTTTCTTCCTCTAGAATGAATGGATTGGCCAGGTGAATTCTCACAATCTCCTGGCTCTAACATGAGGGACTGTGGAGATTTATGCTGATAAGTTCATGAGCTGTGTCATCATTTGTGAACTTCTTACATTTCATTTTAGCAATGTGCTAGAAAACYGTTCAATGTTTGTGATTCACATCAGGACTTGGCTTTGAAAGTGCAGTTCTTAATTTGTTTGCTTTAACCAGTTGTTATCAACTATTTGGTGTTCCCATCTTTTGATTTAGTAGCCCTACATCTTATTTATCTAATTAAGAGATATCTGAATTATTATTTTTTCTTTTTTTTCCCTTTAAGAAATAACATTGCAACTAGGTGTGGTGGTACATACCTGTAATCTCTGTGACTGGAAGGCTTGGACTGGAGGATTGCAAGTTCCAGGCCAGCCTCAGCAATTTAGTGAGGACCTGARGAACTTAGTGAGACCCTGTTTCAAAATAAAAGGGTCTGGAGATGTGTCTCAGTGGTTAAGTACCCCTGGGTTCAATCCCCAGTAAGTAAATCACATTGCAGAACATTATCACTAGAACAAAGGGACTTGACAATCTTATTGTTCCCCAACAGGTCCCTGGGTCTGTGAAAATGTACAAAAAAGGAGCCCAATAATTTTGTTTGAGAATATAGTTACTTTGAATAGTGATATATACATCAAGATCAGAAATTATTTATTATTGCCAACTTAAAAATAGTTTTTACTGACTTGCAATTTTTAATAAAGGAGGAAATAGATATTTAATAAATCCTTTCTTAGCTATTCAAAACGTTTCCAAATKTTCAGGGTACAGAGTGGAAAAGAAAACGCAGAGTAGATAATATGGTGCTCTGACAGAGCCAGAAAGGAATTTTATTTCCAAGTTTAGCAGTTCACAGCYACATCAATCCTTAATCCCTAGTAGGTTAAAAGAAATTTGGTTATTAAATATTTGCATATCCACCATGACCCAGTTTGCTTTCACATAGAACTTAAGCTTAGAAGAGCAGTAACTGAATGAAATATAGTAAAACCTGTAGAGCACTCATGTCCCAGGTTTATCCACCTCAGTTCTCGAGCTGCTATTGTTTATTTCTAGATATCTATGTTTGCATGATCTCCTCTGCACACAATGTGGCAGCTCAAGGAAAGTACATTGCCATTGTTAGTACAACTGTGGAAACCAAGGAACCTGAAAAAGAAATCAGACCAGCTTTGGAGCTCTTGGAACCAATTGAACAAAAGTGAGTGTTGTGTTCTGTCAGCTACTATCCAAACTGAGACTTGATTTTGGTGCTATGGTAAGGTGAGCATGAGAACACAGGCTGACTCTGGCTGCTGTGTGGGCAATCTTGAAATGTCTCATCTCTACCAGTCTTACCTTTGGGGCTTAAAAATTCAGGCAAAACAGTGACTTGAGTGTGGGACCAACTAACTTGCCTACTTATCTATTTTTTCCCTTCAGATTTGTCAGCATCAGTGACCTTCTTGTACCAAAAGATTTGGGAAGAGAGAGCCAGGTGAGTGTGGAAATCTGAAAAGGATATTTTTAGGCTTTACTGGAACATCCCCTAAATACTTATAAATATTTGTAATTTTTATTTCCAGATCTTTATTTCCCGCACATATGATGCCACAACTCACTTTGAGACAACCTGTGATGACATTAAAGACATCTATAAGAGGATGACAGGATCTGAGTTTGATTTTGAGGAAATGAAGCGCAAGAAAAATGACATCTATGGGGAAGACTAACAGCAGTATATGTTAATATCTAATTAGGACAAATATAAAATTTGACAAATAATGCATATTGTATGAAATCAAAATTGTAAGGCCTGCTTTTGTAATCAGAATGGAGAGATTGAAGAGCATTGTACCAGTAAATACTCTTCCCCTTCATCTTTCTAATATCATGTATTAACTTGTTTTCATGGAGTGGCTATTCAGAATTGGCCAGTTACCACATTCTGTTCAATTTAACTGGACTGGCTTTTTTTCTAGTGAAGGAGCAGTTTTAAACATTGTGATATCAATACAGAAAACTTGATACAGTATTTGTATCTTTTAATCAGGGTAGACTTTGCATTTATGTGCTTCTGCTGCTCAAGAGCTGGATTCATACAGTTTGTGTGCCATCTTGACATTAAGGAGATTCTAAATTGAATATAACTACATTGTGTGTTAAGTATTATGGCAGGGCCCAAATACCGTAGTCAAAAGTTTGGTTTATGTGGGCATAAACTTCTAACCAAACTCCAGACTTAGGGATTCGTTTGGAGGAAGCCAATATGTGGTGTTTTAACCTAATAAAGTTGATGAGAGAAGGGGAAAGGAACCTATCATTAAAAAGCAGGTAAAATGTGGAAGCATCTTTTGTATCCCAGGCGKGGCTTCTTCAATGGACCAAGCTGCAATGCAGTATTGATTTGACAGAGCCTCTCTTCAATGATGTCTATCCCAAAATGGCTCCAAATGATTTCTGTACTGCAAAATAAAGCCAAACTCTGGAATCCACTGCCCTCTGTATCAGTCTGTTTGTGTCCTGAATGTGAGGGCCACAACAAAGCTACTGCCTTGCCTTCAGGAGAGCCAGGAGTGATGCTGGGCTGGGACCATGGTGTAGCTTCTGGTCTGGATACATCAGAGCAGCCTATCCTCTGGCTTCGCTGTGAGTATACCTCTTATATTATTTCTGACAAAATGACTAGATTCTTGGGTAATTTTAGTAACGGTTTAAGTACTTGTTTTAAAAAATAGTACCTGTTCCAGTACCTGTTTTTACCTTAAATCTCGCTTATAGCAGTTTTGTAAATTGTACGTTTATTCATTTATATGTTGTGCCAAAAATCGAACCCAGTGCCTCACACATGCTCGGCAAGCGCTCTACCACTGAGCCACAACCCCAGCCCATCAGCATTTTAATAAGTGAAATCTGCCAGATGGAGTAGGAACTGTAGTCCATGTCATCCCTGCCCCCCAAAACACCTCAAGTCTTTTATTAGTTGCCCAGGCTAGACTTGAACTTCCTGTCTCAGTCCCCTCAAGATGCTGGGATTACAGGCAATGTGTTACCATATCTAGCAGATTAGTACTTTTTATGTACTCTAAATGATAGAGCTGGCTTTCTCCTTCATAATGATAAACCTCAATCTATATGCTGTTATTTAAGTGAAAGAGACGGAAGTGGATGATCTGGTAAAGCAAGTTAGGGTGTTACTCAGATGTCCGTGTGATGACTTAGCTCATAGTCTCTCAACTTCCCGCTGAGCCAGATCACTTTTTATTGCAGCTGCCAACAGCACCTGCCCTACATCAGCCACTGAAAGTGCCTCCTCCAGACATTTTCAGATGCTTCTAGTTGAGARCCAGTGTTGATCCCTTCATATTCTAAAATTGTGAATTTCATGCAGGAAAGGCACCAGCTGGATTAGTGATAGATGAAAAGGAAGATACCTCACTTTTCTAAYATGCTGGGCCAGTGGAACACAGAGATGATGAAAGTGCATGCTCTGGGGGAGCTCAAAGTTTAGGAGAGATACTTTTTTTTGGTTAAGTATTACAAGTTATAGGAAAGGTAGCACGGAAACAGAAGAATGGCTTCATGGGTATTCTGGAAGCTTTTTGAGCAAGGGGAGAGAAATGTATGAGGTGTAATCTGTAAGGTAGTGTGCCAGGCAGATAGCATAGTAATGTACTGTACCCAATATAGTGAAGAAGAATACTAACGCTAAAGAATAAAATTGGTGCATGTGTTAAGAAGAAATGGTACCAAAGCAGTAGAATGAGTTGCACAGCCCTATATAAAGGCCAGCTGAAATTTCCTTTCTGTAGTTTGCTGCTCAGCATACTTGACTTGACTTGGTGAAGGAAAGAAGACCACAAGATGCACAGAGAGGCAGGCTGATTATTCCTGTTTAAATAGCCTAAAAATTGTCAAGATCTCCCATACAAGTTTTAATTTTTGGTATAAAAGCACTGCAGAAACAGTAGAATAATTTTTAGTTGTCTTTATTAGAAAATGAAACAAATTAGTTATAAAAACCTTTGCTCCAAATAGATACTATGTATCTTACAAATGTTGCTTGGCTTTGTGTTTTAAAGATTACTATAGAAATTATTTCTAATATCATAAATAAATGATTATTCTTCCTCAGGGGTTGATTTTATAGTGCAGTATTTACAAAAACCGAATAAGTGAAAAAACAACAGTTTATACATCTGTACCATTTAGGACAAAATGTGTTAACTTTGTGTAGTGTTGCTTGTATAACAGCAAATAAAACCATTTAAGATTACAGGTTTTTTTTTTTTTTAAACAAGGGTAGTAAAACCTTTAGAACACCACAACGTACATTTCATGTGCCTCTCTGACATTAACATGCAAAAACAAAGCTATTTGTTAAAATAGACTTATTTTTTGCTCCAACTATGTAAACGTGAATTTGTTTACATTTTAAGCTCAATAGCTTTCAAGGCATTATGTTGAAAATGAAAATAATTTAAAACAATATTCAACACTGCAACCCAAGGCTAATAGCAACTCTTGTGCCACTGTGAAGTCAAGATGTTTAAGCAAAATATACGAAAAAGAAGGAAAATATTCTAAGGTGTAGAACATCGATTTTTTTCAATTATGACAGACTGTGCATGTGTGTTTCAGAGTTAAAAAAACTGGAAAATACTAATTTGTTGTTGGCATCCTCCATGTCTAGGCAGGTGCAGGTGAATCACCTATATGAACACAAAATTGATGATAGAAAAGTGACCAAACATTTTATAAATTGGTTGTTATATCTAATTGGGCAAATTATGCATCTTAAAGTTACACTGTCTTGTCTTTTGACAACCCAGGTTAACACAAGTGACAATGGACATCATTTGAGTAATTCAAAGTACATTGGTTAGTGATAATTAGGGAAACAAAAGCAATTCCACTCCTAAATACTTTAAATTTATCACATGATATATACTGTAAAGAGCAGTTTTTGAACAACTGTGCCTCATAAACAGKGAGTGTCTGCTGCCAACAATTCCAACTTACATGGGAAGAGTTACACAGAAAGTGTTCTTACCAATAGCTACTCCTAAATGGAGCTGCTACTTTTTGTATATTTTCAATAAAGTTATTTACATCTGTAACAAGGATTCCACTATTTTCAAAGACTTCTTTTGAGACAGTAGGCTTATCTGTGAAGAAAAAACATCAAATAGGAGAACTTTAAAAAGTCAGAAATCTCATGTTCTTAATAACATCTTATGTACAAGGTGCGAAATGAAAGGAAAAATGTCTGGTTCAACTTTAGAAAAAGATAAGCTGCATCCATGGGAGTGGAAGAAGGGAAGTAACACAACAGTGACAACTMCTGCAGCTTTTAAATAAACTTGAACCATAACCCCCCTTCTGGCCTTATGTGCATTTGTCAGAACATGTCGTACTAAAGTTTGTTCCTGGCTGTCTGATGTGGRAGTTTTATCTACCTTTATCTTAGTTATACACTACTGGGAAGGACATTTCTAGAGCCAACCTATTTCGGCATTAAGTAATGGAAATTAAAACTTAGCATGTGAACTTACCTGTTAGGAAGACAGCAAATCTGGCCTCAACATGCTGAATTTGCAGGTTTATCAAACATTTCAAAATTTCTGCTTTTGTTGGAGATYGAGAGTCACAGTGGTGATAGTGAAGCAATTCGATGATATTTGCACTCTGATATGATTTCAATATTAAATTCTTTTTATGTGCAATTGAATCCATTCTGGAAAATACATAGGAATGTTTTTTTAATATTTATTTTTTAATTTTCGGTGGACATAACATCTTTGTTTGTATGTGGTGCTGAGGATCGAACCTGGGCCGCACGCATGCCAGGCTAGCGCGCTACCGCTTGAGCCACAACCCCAGCCCACATAGGAATGTTAATCACTAAATTAAGATTCAGTTATTTTCAACTGTTTCACTCCTAGGACTTTTTCTTATCCTTTGTTTTAACCAGTTGTTATAACTCATGAGAGATCCAGCTTTTTGCTTCTCAAATGTTCTTTTTTATGACACAACTTGGCCTCCTAGAAGTCACTGTCACAATTGTAATGACTTTGTAAATACAAGATTATAAATTTGGGCCTCATTCCATGCCAGAGAGACATTGTACATTTATCTGCTACCACTTTAAATTGTGTGGCCTAGAGCAAGTTTTCATTTATTTGTAGTGGGCCTTTCTGCCTGCGTTGAATATTCATTTGTCAACAGATCTCTTAAAATGTCTATTTTTTTTTAAATACACGACAACAGTGAAATGCCTTACAATCCTTATTACACATATTTCGTATCTCTGTATATCTAAAATGTCTTCTATAACCATTAACTTTGTTAAAACTATGTAGTTTTCTCACATATCTCAAAATCCTATTACTACCTGTTTTCTTCCTCTTTTAGAGGAAAATGCATCCTTACGTATTAATAACTTACAGGTATGATATGGCTCTTAAGAGCTTAATGATTGAAGTTTAAAATTTCCCTTAAAACTGCTGATCAATAAGATCCTCTGAACCTGGTTCCATTCCCTCTGGATTGCTCAGACCTCAGAACTCTATCTGCTTTGCTAGCTAGCTCCTCTGTCAAGGGAAAACCTTTCCTGAAATTTGTTATTTCTCCCTCCTTTAAAGATTCCATACCTCATACAATTTGTTATGCTTACTCCTACTTTGTTGGAAAAAGCAGTATGGTAAAAGAGGTAAATAAACTCACTTCAAACCTGATGACTTCTTAACCTTGGAATAGTTTTTCTACTTTCTAGGTGAAGTTTCAAAGAGACAATGGATGTAAAGCGCCTACCAGTACTTGACATCTTCAACAGTTAACAATATTTGTCCAATCAACACTTTTCTACTCTGCCTCCCAGCCCACTCTTCTTCCTGTCTCAGAACAACTGGGAGGCATACCTTGGATAGGTAGGAACACCCATAGGCCTCAGAACTCTTTAGCCATGGAATCAAAATTTTCTATGAGGAAATATCTAACCCACAAATAATTATTTTTATAATTTATGGTAGTCGAGCCAGAATCAAACTAGAGTTTTTATGACTTCTATTAACCTAGAGAAGTGCATGGCTTGATACTGTTTACAGCTTCCATTATTGGATGTCCTGCTACAAAAACAATACATCAGCTAGACATCAAACCTAAAAACCATGATCAAAGTGGCAACTCATCAGGCTGCAATGTTTGGAGGGACACTAGAGCACACAGAGCACAAGGGCATTTCTATGCCCACCTGAAAGTACTTACCTTATGTCTTCCTTTAGCTTTTTATTTTCTCTGTAGTGAAGTAACCATTTCCATCTTCCATTTCCATTTAGTTTTTCCAGAATTTTGACAATATCCTTCAGTTGAACTGTAGAATAAGTGTGGCAAGAGATCATAAGTAAAAAAATTAGATCCGTGGTTGGGTATATAACCACCATTACCACTGAAGTGGCTGGGCAGCATCCACTTTCACAAAGGCACAACCTATTGCCCCTTCACCACCTATGTATACTACAACATGAAAGAACTGTGTAGAGACAAGGGCATGGTGGTCTGCAAGTAAAAGCTYGACTGGACAAGCCACACAATAGAAAAGGAGGAGTCCTGTGCTGTAGGAACAAGGCAGGTCTAGTTTCATAAACACAAAAATCTACCAATAGTTTTAACCCCAGTTTCCATGCAGAATTCATGCTTCAGCAGATAATTAATCTCATCCAGAAGTAGTATCCACATTGAATTCTAATGAGAAGATGAGTCAGGTTTGGATTACACATAAAAGTGTGTGCCATGAGAGACGTAAACTCTGTGGGAAAGTTCAAGGAGATGGTTACAAAATATGACTTAACAGTAATTATTTTTTAGCTTTCTGTGAAAAATGGAAAACATGGCTGATTCTAAGCAAAATTATTATAGAGCAGACTTGATTTGGCAAGTGAAGGGGTTAAATACAAAAACCTTAAATTTGTGTAAATGGGAGTTTGGCCATATCAAGAAGGGTCTCAGAAGCGGGTTTGGTGATAAAGATAATTAGGTAAAAACAGGTTAAGAGCACTACCATGAGAATTACTATATAAAAAGTGCTTAGTATACTATTTGACAGGAAGTAAAAACCCTCAAAAGGTGGCAACTGAAATTCTTTAGTTGATAATTTCTGCTATGATAGTATTTGGGTCACTAGGTGAGAAGAAATGGACTTGACTAGATTTCAAAGGAAGGAAAAGAAAAGACCAACCTAATGTTAAATGTTCTAATATTTTGTCATCTGATATCATGAAGCCTCCTGTGCGAAACAGCTCTTGGTAGGTGTCGTTAACAACATCTTCAGGGCTGTCTATTCCAGCAAAGATGACACTGGGGAAATGCTTCAGTTTCAGCAGAAAAGGAATCTGTTAGACAGAAAAGGGCCCTGTGAAGAGAGGCACACTAGGCACATTTTCCTATCCAAGGGTTTCAAGGTCCAGGAACAGGTGAAAATACATTTGGAGTACTGACTGGTAACCCGGTTGTGCACAAAGGACTGTTTCTAAGCTCGTCATCAGCAGCTAACTCTTAAAGTTAGTTAAATAAAGAGGTCTCAAGGGTTGGGGGAAATAATTGTTCTTGAGGGAAGGTACATCTGAGGCTTTGAGAACCTGTGAAGTAATCAGCAGATCACATAAATTCAGTCTTGTCTCCAGCTCACGGATAGGTGTCAGTATTGCCAGGCTAATGTCACTGCCTACTGACAAGCAGGATTATGCACCTAGCTATGTCCATAAACTGGATCTTCTGGGAATAAGCAATCACATTTTGTCAACTAGAAGGTAAATATCATAACAGAGTTCAGAAAATATTTCCAAGTCCTTCAAAAGCAAGGTTTTTAGACATCATGTGATATAGATTTATCTTAAGTGAGAAAATTTAGCAATCTTTCACCTCTTCATAATTTTCCCTTAGATAATGCAGACAGTTTCTTAACACTATGAAACTTCCTCTGCCCTACAAATAACCTCGGTGAAATGAGTTTTCCACAGTGCACGCATCACCTTATTCCTATTATCTTTCCACTTAAAGGCCCAATGGTTGTGATGTGTTCTTTCCCTACAGAGAAAGGCAGGCATGAGTCTGATATTACAGGAACAACTTCAGTTCCTGGGGATACATTTCTTTGAAAGTAAGATTTCAAACCTACCTGATGCAAATGTGATGATAAATCTTCGTTTCTGATGATGATTATTAGCTTATCATTCTCCCTGTGAAAAGCCTGACAGAAATGCTGAGGTTCAATTTCTGTATGGCCTCCTTTCCTCAGAATGTTCTGAAAGATTTACAAACAGCCATTAAAAAAAGGATACTTATGGGCTGGGGATGTGGCTCAAGTGGTAGTGCACTCGCCTGGCATGCACGAGGTACTGGATTCAATCCTCAGCACCATATGAAAAGAAAAATAAAGATATTGTGTCCACCTAAAACTAAAAAAATAAATACATAAAAAAGGATACTTGCACAGAACTATCTTATAGCTTATAAAAATAAGCCATCAATATCTAAAACGAACAAATAAAGCCATAAAAAGCACATCCTTTTGCTAAATTATATCTTAACAAAGGAATAGAAAGAGCAATTGGTCTTATTAAATAAGCTTTTATATATATAGAAGAAATGACTCTTATTTATCACCATAACTGGATTTAGAAGTTTATTTCAAAAGTAAAGTAATTTGTAATCTTTTATTGTCCATGAAGTATCAAAAATGGATGTTTTTAAATCTACATAAGTTTCTTCAAGGGAATAAGATATCTTGGGGATACCAGATTTTTAAGTGCCACCTCTAGCCAAAACATGTTAAACTTGAAAAACAAAAACCTGTGCATTCCTTTATCACTAACTGGAACTGATTCAGAGTCAGTGGTCCTTTGGATCTACATCTTTGAATATGATGCGTGATACAGTTTAAACTGCAAGTGCTTGTGAGGCACAGCTGTGACATGGCTTATTGTTATCACATAGAATAGCTAGACTGGGAAGGTAAAATGTGTGTTATCAAGGAACCTCAAACCCTGTCTTCCCTCCTGACTTGATCAATTTCTTTCGAAATCAATTTCTGTTGAAGGAATTTGGATTTTCACTGTATATCCTTGTTATATCCMAAACACTCATGACAATCATTGATACTTCCTCTTTAAAAATAGAGTATAACTTGAACGGAACACGGTGGTAGCACACCTGTAATCCCAACGGCTTGGGAGGCTGAGATAGGAGGATCCTGAGTTCAAAGCCAGCCTCAGTAAAAGCCAGGTGCTAAGCAACTCAGTGAGAGTTTCTAAATAAAACACAAAATGGGGCTGAGGATGTGGCTCAGTGATCSAGTACCCCCGAGTTCAATCCCTGGTACCAAAAGAAAAAAAAACAAACTTGGACCTTTTGGCCTTGGATCCCAAAACAACCAAAATCACACTCAAAATGAATATGCTTTTTTAAAAAAACCTACTGAAATAAGTATAAATTTTGCCCTTTATTTACTAATAAACAATTAGAAGGAATACATTTTCATTACTGAAATAATTCATGTGGCATTCTGGGCTCTTCTGTCATGTACTCTAATTTCAATAATAATAAAGGTCCTTGCAGATCCTCCTTTTACATATAAACAGAAATTAATGCTTCAGAATTGTCCACAACAGAATTATTCAGGATACATTCTGAGCTTTARTAACATCTTCTTCTTGATGGTACATTATTCAAGTTTATTTTAGCATGTATCCATTTGAAGATTTTTACTTTGCAAGAAATTTATTACTTTCTGTTATTAACAATGGCCACATGATAAAATATCAAGAAACAATGTATRTATTATAGAAGGCATGTCATCTAGAAGTCATCTAGAAGTACTCCTCCTACAAATAAAATGCATCAGTAAGATCTGCCTTTGGCATGAAAATTAGTATCACCTGCCCTGAAAAGGAAGTGAAAACTAAAATGATTGCTTTGTTGCTTTTGAGAAGATAAATATTTTGCCCACTGTGACAAAACAGATACATGACATGGTCATGATGCCAACTCAGCTGATTCCCCATTCAGTACATGTCTGTCTGGGTATTTCCAGATTGCTTTGAAGAACAAACACCTTCAGAAAGACTGAGGTCATTCAGTATTTTTTCTTTTCAATTACACTGCCTACCCAAAATGGGAAGGAACTTGGAACAGACAAGCGGGTGGGGGACACAACAAAATCAAATCCAGCAGCCATTTATTAAGAACCTTTGAGAACAGAAGGATCTTTGGCGGGGGGGAAGGAAGAAACAAAACAGTTATGCTAAAAAAACAGATTCCACAAATTTGGAAAAAAATTTAAATAATTTGACATTTAAATGACAAATTTAAATATACGTGCCAATTTACAGAAAAATAAATGTGACTCACACAACAATGTGTTCAAGTTAGCCCTGTTACCTCGATTTTTCCCAATCTCTTCTCCATCTGCTGAAGAGATCTCTCTAAAAGGTAACGTGCTGCTTATTTATCTTTTAAAAATATTTTTTCAGTGGCTCCTCAGTGGCCACAGGATAGTCTAAACGTGTTAAAGTGACTGAATGAGGCCTTTCCTCACATGGCCCCTTCTCAAGTATCCAAACACATTCCATCACTGTAAACTTTAGATACCAACTGTGCTAATCAGCCCCTCTTCTCTGGCTCCCCAGTGCCCCACATACTTCTCCACTAAAGCACCGAGACCTTTGAATCTGCCCTCACTGGCCGGACTGCCAGCTACTGAGCTTTGTGTTTTCTCCTCCAGGGCCTCATGTAACTATTTACCAACTTGGCACCTAACTGAGACTAGCAGAGCAAATCAAAAACGTTTATGCAGCTCAAAAAGAGGCCACTGTGCTTATCTGAACATCCTCAGATGTCGAAAAGGGGTGGAGGGCAGGGAGTGAGTGAGTTAAGAGTTCCTTAGTGGGGGCTGGAGTTGTGGCTCAGCGGTAGAGCACTCACCTAGCACATCGGGGCACTGGGTTCAATCCTCAGCACCACATAAAAATAAATAAATAAAAYAAAACTATTGTGTCCAACTATAAAAACTAAAAAAAATATTTTTTAAAAAAGAGTTCCTTAGTGATTCAATACACATCGATTTACCATGTGGCAGATACTCTATAGTTAAAATCACAGGAAGTGATGGCATGGTTAAATCAGAGACAGATCTAGCCGAGCATTTAGAACCAATGCATTTAATGTCTACCTCTTACATGGTGCAGTGGTCTGCTCAGCTGAATGCTCTGCATCAATTCCTTAGAAAAGACCTCCCCAACCAGGCCCCTCATCCTGAAAACATGGGCAAAGCACCAGCATCACTGTGTTTGCCATAGCCTTTTATCAATTTGCATGGTTCTTTTATTGGTATTTTTTTTTTTTGTCCTGTTACATTGTAAGGATCTTGACAAAAAGACAATACTTCTCACTCTCACCAACAAATGCTGGGACTGTACATACTGAATAAGACTGCTGTCATCTGAAAGCAACTTTCTGTTACAAGGGTTGGGAGGTGGGGGAGCAGCTGGTAAGTTTGGGGCCCAGCTCTGGCAAGTGCCCCAAGCAAGGGTCTAATCACAAAGGGGACAGTGGGAATGACAGTATGTCAAGAAGTCAAGACAAGGGGAACACCAGATATGAAAGACTAGCACAAGCTTGGTGGTGCAGGATTGGAACAAAAGCAAGAACTCATTTTTGCTTTTTATGCAGAGATGCAAATATATATCGGTGTGTACATATATAAAATTTCCTGGCTCTCTGTGCTAWGAGGTCCTAGAAGAAGTGACACTCAATGGCACTGAGTTTACCCAGTGCCCAGATCTTAGTTCTAAATACAGTACTTTACTAAAAAAAACTCGTGGCTCCTTGGAGAAACTGCTGACTTCAATGCTGGGGCAGAGTAAACATAAGACAAACCTGGAACATGGGGCTGCACCACAAAGTAAGAAAGTGCACAAAGAATTACTGAAGACTTGTCAAGAGGACACAGAAACCAGCTTATGGGAACTCCCATTGGTAGGCCTGAGTACTAAAATAATGAAGGAGGGRCTGGGATTGTGGCTCAGTGGTAGAGTACTCACCTAGCATGTTCAAGGCCCTGGGTTTGATCCTCAGCACCACTTAAATAATGAAGGAAAAGATAGTAATCCTTTTAGTATAAAATGGTCCAATATGCCACACTGATATATGAAAGCAAATGAATGAACAAAAAAATGAGAAGGGAAAGGTCTACTATGCAGAATGCCAACTAATAAATGAAGAAGGAATGACAGAATTAGAATACCATCAGGTGGTAAGCAACCATCAGAGTAATAACTGATTCAGGCAAAAATCATCAATGGATGTTAAATGGGGTGGGTGAAGGTATGATGAGAAAGTGAATTATTTATAAAGTGTCAATGCTTATTAATTATTACAACCTGCTAAYTAACTGTACAACAGAAAAATGTGACAGATCATTTTAACCATGTAGAAAAGCTAATACATTAGTAAAGGCACAAACTGCTTTCTAATACAATKCACTGAGAAAATCACAACATTGGATTTGGATTTTCTTACCTTAAATGCTTAAATCATGTGGACATAACAAGTAAATGCAAATCAGAGGAAATTCTATCAAATAACTAGCTTTAAAGTCTTTAAAGCCAAGGCCATAAAAGATAAAGAACAAGACAGGAACTGTTTCAGATTAAAGACACAAGCATAAACCTGTGATCCTACAATGGGTCTGTGGAACAGATGGCTAACTTCCCAAGTTTTAGGGTCATACTGTGACTATATAGAAGCATACTCTGTACCCCAATATATAAATTAAATATCAAGKGTAATGGAACACTGTATGCCATTTTCAAATGGTTCAGAAATATTAATATTGCAGTATTTAGGTGAAGAGTACTATTTCTATAATCTTCATGTAAACTTCTGAATTATTTAAAAAATAAATGGTGTCAATATGTCAGATTGAAGTTCTGAAAGAATAAAATGAAAAACCTAATGGTAATCAAGACAGATTCTGGCTCCTTCCAAATCAGAATTTTACCAACATTATATTACTTAAATTAAAGGACTATGTAGTCACAGGTATCCTTATGATCAAATTTAAAAAGGTATCCTGTGGAGCTGGGGATGTAGCTCAGTGGTAGAACCCTTGCCTCACAGGCCCTCAGCACCACATGGATGGATGGATGGATGGATGGATGGATGGATGGATGGAAGGAAGGAAGGAAGGAAGGAAGGAAGGAAGGAAGGAAATTGTGTCTATCTACAACTAAGAAAATGTTAAAAAAAAAAAAAAAGACATCCTAAACCAAAAGAAGTTCCTGTCAATGATTCATACTACTAAAAGAAACACAGGTAATAATTTCTGAAAAACCCATATTTTATCATTGGAAATGTTTGTATATACATTTGAACATGGGATTGTGTACACTGGTAACGTGAAAATTAGTCTYTGCACCAATTTTTTAATAACATATAAATCATGAAATATTCTTGTAGGAAACATTTAGTTTTCAGATAAAGACTAAGCTATGAACCCCCCCCCCAAAAAAACACCCCATACCATGATTTCTCTTTGAAGCCAAAACATTATTTTGAACACTAGTTCTAAAATAAACTAAAATTAGAAGGCAATAACACAATGCGTTAAGAATAAGCTGACAACTTTACCTTTGTTCTTACAAAGAATGATTTTTCTTCCGTTTCAACAAGGTAGAACAGGAAGGGACTCTTACAAGCTTCTTTCATAACGCTTTTTAGTTTGACATGCAAGCTGGCACATAAGTCTGTAATCATGTCTTCATAGGAGGCTGACTGTCTTGGAAGAGATGGATACATGTCTTGGGACATGGCGTCTCCAGAAGCCACATTTAACTCTTTATCTTGTAAAACAACTTGGTTGCTATTCATCATTACCTTATTGAATTCAGCATATTCATTGAGAATAAGTGAAATATCATTCCGAGATTCTTTCAAAGTGCTATTATATTTCAGTTTGTTGAGGTGAAATGAAACACTCTGATTCTTTTGAGAATTCGTAAGATTTCTGTTGTGATTACATCTCTCCTTCCAAAAGGAGTAAGTGCTGTCCATATGGTTGGGTGTATGGCCTCTTCTGTGCTGACTCGCCTGTCTGGCATCTGGATGCATAATTGTTACCAGGATGGGGCTTCTGCTCTTGGATGCAGGATGCAGAACTGGGGCCTTGGATGTTTTTGTCAAAGGTAAAGTTCCCACCATGATTTGGGTAGGTGATTCCTTTGGAAAGATGTTGGGGGAAGAGGCAGGTTTCTTAGAATCCTYCTTCTTTACTATTTGTTTAATTTTATGTGCAAAACGTAGATATTCCAGATCTAATGTGTTTTGGGTGAGGTCATCTGCCACTTTCCAAGTGCTTGTCCAGGAGCTGAGCAGGCTACAGTTTGCAGCAAAACTTGGTTGCCTCTTCAGGCTATGCAAAGTTCTAGATGTATCTTTGAATTCTTTTGTTATAGTAAAGTTAGCATAGGTCCGGGGGATACCATGGAGATCTCGAATTTGGACATAGCATGGCACACACTTATCTTCTTGCTTTAATCCAATGAACCTGTTTCTTGAAGGAATGCTAGTCTCCAGCTCTGGAACTCTATTATAACCCCAAGCTTCATTATCACTATTGTTTGAGTTCATGGAAGATTCGTAACTATTTTTTACAACATCCTCTTTTTTGCTGGTGTGACTACTTCTCAAAGTGCATGAATCTTCCATGTCTAATTCRGGATTTCTACAGTCATCAAGAAAGTCTTGATCAGAGTCTCCAGAAAGTGGTTCRTAATGCATGTCTGAATTCACCCTCATCTTTGTCTCTCCATCCTGAGTTTCAAAATCAGCCTCAGCCCTGTAYTCCTCATTAGGGATCTTATTGTCAATATGCTCTTTAGAGATTCCACAAACAAGAGAGTCARATGAAGCAGAAGTCTCTTTACTGATACTTTCACTGTTCTCTGCTGCATTCTGGTTTGAACCAGAATACATAGGAAAAAATCCACCATTCAACAGATCCTTTATCTCACRTGTTGCCATATCCTGCGACATGTGGATTTTTTGTTCAACTTTCGTTGAAGATGTAGAGTTAGACTGAAGGCTGACAGTACCTAGATCTATACTTTCTTCAGGTGACTCAGCTTTAGTCTCACTATTCTTAAGTAAATTGGCCATTCTGACTACTGATATTTCCTGTGTTTGAAACCCTGGCTCCACATTTCCTGGTTGTGTACAATGGGTGAATGTAGTGCTATCTGAGGAAGAACCAAGCTTTGGGCTCTCTGGGGGCATGTATGTCTGTATAACACCAGCTCTATCAATGGAGGCAGAGTCCATGGACTTCACCTGCATGTACCCTCCACTATCTGTTTTCAAATCACTATCAAAAAGATTTTTTGTAATGCTTTTAGGGTTGGTCTTTTGTTTTAATGACACATTTACTATTCCACTTAGAGCAGTTGTAGAAACCAATCTATCAGCTGAAGACTTATTTTCAACAATCTTTTTAGGACTAAATGGAGGTTCACTGGACTCTAAGACAAGATGTTTTAAGTCCAAATTTCTATTCTCTATGCTAATTGGCTGCAGTGGATTTCCTGATTTTACCAGTTTTTCGACAGAAGGCTTGAAGTTACCTCTGTATCTGGCAGCTGAGGCAGACTTGGCTAATGCTGCATCACAGCACTGCACCTTTTCTGAGAAAGAGAAACCCTCATTATGCTCATTTGGGAAAGTTCCCTCAGTTACTTTACCAGAAAGGATTGGTCTACCTTTTCTTCCTGGATTTTTGGTTAACATTAGAGGCATTTCAGCAGAAAGCTGAGTTTGCTGTACTTGAGTTAAGTCACTCTGTCCCACTGGATGGTTAGGACTAACAAAAGAATTTTCTTTTTCTGTTACAGCTAAATCTCCTGAACCAATCTGGGACAATTTGTTACTTTTCTCACACTGTATACCATGAACTTCTAAACTACATGGAGACACAGCCTGAGAAGGTCGTGTTTCTTTGGTTGGTACTGGGGGATCAGGACTAGAAGGTGGTGACACTTCTTCAATTAGAGAATCAAAGGGGAAATCAGAAGTAACGTTAATTTCTTCTGCAATCTCAAGGGTACAATTTTCTTTAGAAAGTATTAAAGTAACTGGCTGTAAACTATCACTTTTTCTTTCCTTATTTTCTAGTGGTTCTTCTGGTACCACAGGACACACTGACATATAATTAGCTGAACTAATTTCTCTGTTTTCCACAAGGGTTACCTCTTCTGGCTCAACTATTTCTTCAGCTATATCCTGAAGTTCTAAATTTGATACTGGGGCCTTCTGAAGTTGCTCTATTTCACCAGCTGCCATTTCTTCCTTGGGACTTGTAGGTGATGATACTGTTAGAGTTAGGTCAATATCAGAATCTTCCTCTGACAATTCCAGTCTGTTCTCTTCCCTACCCTTAGATGGGCTAATTTGTTGGGCAAATACCGAAGTAAACGACTCCACATTTGTATTTTCATGATTTAGATTACTCTTGTCATTCTTCCTTATTTCTAAAGAGCCATCTGACATAGTAATTCTTGGTGGAATACAGTTAAGAGAATACCCTTTTCCCAAGGTGGCTGAGGCTGATGATGAGACTACTTCAACCTGGGATGGCTCTATAATCTCTTCTGAAGATATGCTAAAGACACGTTGAGTCTGCAAACTGCAATCTTGAGAGCCTTTCATTTCTTCACTGGGTAATGTATAACTAGAACTTTTGACTAAAGCTAATGCTTCCATTATCGATGTTTTATTGGATGGTGGTGATGAGACTGGAAGAGGCTTCTCTTTCTGTAATAAACACAGTTCTTGAGCAAGTGTCTCTCTATTAACTGAGGAGGCACAAAGGTGGTTAGTGGCTTTCTGTCCTGACACTGCAAGAGATGGAACATCCCTAAGATCTTGTGTTTGTACTTTTTCCAATGCAGATATGGGATGTCTAGGACTTGCAGGAGGAGACACTTGTTTCATCAGCTCTGTATCAAAGGCTGTGGGTTTATCAGGTCTATTTACTTCTGAATATATTGGTACACAGGCATTTTTTTCAAAAGTGGGAGTAACTGGTTCCAGATTAATCATCACACACCCCATATTATCATCTGTCCTTTCCAAGGAGGACTGACATTCACTGTTTATGGGGCTGCTATGCTGGGTAAGGTCCTGTAAAGTACCTGTTTTTGTCTGCATTGATGCATGACCTACATCAACTTTGTTTTCAAGGGTGTTGTATATAGACTTTTGACATACTAYCGAGTGACTATTGGCCCCATTATAAGTGGTGGTGAATGTGGCTTGTGTAACTGTATCATTATAAGAAGCCACTCTAGTATTATCATCTAACTGAAAGGTTTTTTCTTCACCAGAAATAGAAGGTCCATTAGTTTGCATACTTTCAATACCAGAAAGCAYAAGATTAGAAGTCTCTAGATCTGATGATTCTTGTTTGGCTTTCTTTCCAATTACCTGAAATGACAAAAATTAAGTAAATACATAAATAAATATCAAACAGATTTTTWAAAAATATTTATTCTTTAGTTGTAGTTGGACACAATACTTTTATTTATTTTTATGTGGTGCTGAGGATTGAACCCAGGGCCTCACACATGCTAGGTGAATACTCTATGGCTGAGCCACAACCCTAGCCCTCAAACAGATTTTGTAAAACCACAATTACATATGTTTAGAATAGAAAAGTCAAGGACCAAATTTTCTTGAGAGACAAGAAATATAATCTTATATATTGAATTTTCTATTATATAAGATTACCACAGAGTAGTGATCAAGAAAATCCATCTCTTTTTAGATCTTAAGCTTAAAATACCATCAAATGTGGGTGTTTTTTTTTTTTTTTCACTGAGCTCCAGCCCCCAGAGCAGAATTTTTTTCTTTAAAAGTATATATAGCTGGGTATAGTGGCACACACCTGTAATCCCAACAGCTCGGGAGGCTGAGACAGCAGGATTTCGAGTTCAAAGCAAGCCTCAGCAATGGTGAGGCACTAAGCAACTGTCACTAAATGAAATATAATAGGGCTGGGGATGTGGCTCAGTGGTTGAGTGTTCCTGAGTTCAATCCCTGGTACCCCCCAAAAAAGTATACAGAGATGAGAACTCCAAAACTTTAATTGTTTAGCCTTTTAATTATTATTTTTGGCACTAGGGATTGAACCGAGATACMCTTAACCACTGAGCACATCCCCAGCCCCTTTTCATCTTTTATTTAGAGACAGAGTTTCGCTAAGTTGTTTTAAAGTCTCCTTAARTTGCTGAGGCTGGCTTTGAACTTGTGATCCTCCTGCCTCAGCYTCACGAGCCACTGGGATTACAGGTATGCATCACAACACCCAGCTTTATTATTTTTTTAAAATAACCCTTTTGGGGCTGGGGTTGTGGCTCAGTGGTAGAGCACTTGCCTTGCACGTGCGGGGCCCTGGGTTCCATCCTCAGCACCACATAAAAATAAACAAACGAAACAGAGGTATTGTGTCCAACTACAACTAAAATAAATAAATAAAATAAAACAAAACTACCCATTTGGAGGAAAAGTAGCTAGATGCTGTTTGCCAAAYAGCATCACTCAGCTCAGAAATATAGCACTAAAAAAAAAAGCACTCAACTTTGCTCTTAATGAGATTAAAAAATAACTTTTAAAAAATTTTTCATGTATTGATCACTGAACCCAGGGCTTTTGAGCATACTAGGAAAGTGCTCTACCACTGAGCTACATTCCCAGCCTAATTTTTTTCCCCCCTAAATAGGTGTCTATAAAATTTTGAGATAGGACCTTGCTCTTTTGGGGGGCCTTGCCTTAAAATTGTGATCCTCCTGCATCAGCCTCTCCAATTGTTGGGATTATAGGAGTAATCCACTGTACCTAGCAAAAGGTAACTTTGAAATCTAAGAATAACTTTTCTTACCAGTTTTAAATTAGACTGTAAATATAACTTCATTTGGAACTTTCACATGAGACAGAATAAATTAATTATTATCCTCCACACTCCAAATAACTGATTCTGGTAAAATAAAGGTCCTTYACCCCTGAGATATCTTCTTTGCTTAAACCTGAGGATAATTCTCACTTTAATACCTCTTATTCCACAGAGCAACAGGGAATTTATCAATGTTGTTTACACTTATAAACTAAAGGGAATGATTTAAACCATAGAAAGAACAACTTAGGTAAAATATTAGCAGAACTATGCCAGGACAATTCTGATTACTCCATAAAGACGTTGTTTTGTTCTGTTGAAAGCCTCCAGCATGGTCTTACCTAGTATATGGTAGAAGGGACTGATTTACGTAATTTACCATAACTCTGCAACATTTGGACCATTATGCTCACAGATTGCCTACCATGTCTTGGCACATATATGTTTGGAGTCAGGAACCGTGTTTCAAAACACACACACACACACACACACACACACACACACACACGAATATATGACTATAAGTATATAATGTCTCTACAATAAAGTATGATGATTTAAAGTGTTCTTTAGATGATTAAAAGCAATATACTACTGGTTTCTAGTGCCTACTGTGCTACAATACACTTCACATCCCAGTGTGCCCACTTATGAGGATGGAGTGGCATAACACAAGTGTGCTTTACTGGTGCAGCCACAATATCCAACAAGATGACCTCCAAAAAAAGAAGAAGAAAAAAAAAACTTCTGCAAGGAGAGCCTGAGCATCCTTAATCTAGAATGTTGTGAAATCTAAAACTTTGAATACTGTTATGACACTCAAAACGTTTTGAATTTTTGGACTATTTCAGATTTGGGGTTTTCAGATTAGAGATGTTCAACCAGTAAAGTCTGCACATATTCCAAAGTCTGAAATTCTGTCAAATCTGAAATACTATGGTCCAAACATTTTGGATAAAGGATATGCACAACCTGTACATATTAGAGATTGGTTTTTAATATTTCTTTAYTCTTCTTTATATTCTATTTCATGTTTGCCAAAAATCATTCCAAAGATTACCACTGTCAGTTAATTACACATTGCCATAGTAAAAAGCACAGAATAGACAGAGACAAACCCACATGAATACAGTTATGTCATACCAGACAAAGGTGCCAAAAACATTCACTGGAGAAAAGATAGCCTATTCAACAATGGTGCCGGCAAAACTAGAAATCCATGTGTAGCAAAATGAAATTAAACCTCTGTCTCTCACTCTGCGCAAAAATCAATTCAAAACGGGTTCAAGACTTAGGCACTAGAACAGAAACCCTGCGCCTAATAGAAGRAAAAACAGGCCCAAATCTTCACCATGTCAGCCTAGGATCTGACTTCCTTAACAACACTCCTAAAGCGCAAGAAGTAAAACCAAGAATCAATAAATGGGATGGATTCAAATTAAAAAGCTTCTTCTCAGCAAAGGAAACAATTAATAAAGTGAAGAGAGGGCCTACAGATTTGGGAGAAAATCTTTACCACATGCACCTCCGAAAAGCATTAATCTCTAGGATATTAAAAAAACTCAAAAAACTTAACACCAAAAAAACAAATAACCCAATCAATAAATGGGCTAAGGAAGTGAACAGATACTTCACAGAAGAAGAAATACAATTGATCAACAAATATATGAAAAAGTATTCAACATCTCTAGCAATTAGAGAAATGCAAATCAAAACTACTCTAAGATTTCATCTCACTCCTGTCAGAATGGCAATCATCAAGAATACAGGCAACAATAAATGTTGGCAAGGATGTGGGGAAAAAAGTACACTTATACGTTGCTGATGGGACTGCAAATTGGTACAATCACTATGGTAAGCAGTATGGAGATTCCTCAGAAAACTGGGAATGGAAGGAATCACTACTTGACCTAGCTATCCCAATCCTGATTTATACCCAAAGGTCTTAAAATCAGCATAATATAGTGACACACCACATCAATGTTTATAGCAGCTCAATTCACAATAGCTAGACTATGGAGCCAACCTAAGTGTCTCTCAATAGAGGAATGGATAAAAAAAATGTGGTACACATACTSAATGGAATATTACTCAGCTTTAAAGAAGAGTAAAATTATGGCATTTGCCAGTAAATGGTTGGAGTTGGAGAATATATCATGCTAAGCGAAATAAGCCAATCCCAAAAAACCAAAGGCCGAATGTTTTCTCTAACATGCAGATGCTAATTCACAATAAGTGGGAGAGGGGGCACTAGGGAAAATTAGCATTACCTTAGATTACATAGAGGGAAGTGATGGGAGGGAAGGGGAGGGGATATGGGGATAGGAAAGACAGTAGAATGAAACAAACATTATTACTGTATGTATATATGTGACTCCATGATCAATATGATTCTGCAACATGTACACTAAAAAAACCCGAGAAATTATATCCCAKCTATGTATATCAAAGTACATAAATACATTCTACTGTCATGTATAATTAAAATAAAAATGAAAAAAGTACTATATATGAAACTAGTGTGTATATAGGTAGTAAAGGAATTTCACCTAACTGTAAATATTTTCTCATAAGGTAGTAAGAATCAGATAAAAATTCCTGAACCACATCTTCAGAAAGAAAGCACACCCATACCTAAAACACACACACACACACACACACATAAATATACCCATGCAATTTGTAGGTTGTCTGGAATCGAATCTTGGCTCAACAATTTACTATGCAACTTGAGGCAATTTTCTTACTTCTTTATGTCTTAAGTTTCCTTTATCTACAGGATGGTGGATTACTCATTGTCTTTACCTCACTGGTTTGTTCTGAGACCAGTTAACTGAGTTAATGTCAGTGAAACACTATCTGGCACACAGTGCTCCAGAAACCTTAACTCTGATGATGATGATAATGACGATGATTTAAAGACATTCATCCTCTGAGGTTTACCATGGACCTGCAAGTGTTCAGTAACCTCAGATAGAGAAACACTGCCTGCCTCTTAARTGCTGCTCAAACCCATGCAAAATTATTCCAGAACAAATCTGGGTATTTTGTCAATCTATTTAGTTAGAATTTTGTTACAACATTTTGATTGGTTCAGTTAGAATCTGATTATCTGGTCTGGCTGAGCATCAGCTGAAAACAATGGTATAAAAAAAAGTTTGTTTTCCATTTTCAGAAATCATCAACTGCAATGGTTTTTCCCTCACAGGCCTAGATAGTATTCTACTATTAAATTATCTATCTTCAAAATTAATTCTGGTATAATCAAGTCTAGTTTAAGGTTTAACAAAGCATTTCTAATGTTTATTACTAAGGTATCATTCTTAATATCTAGATAAGACAAGTATTAGCATCACCTGTTTTATAAAACGCTCAGTGAGAACAAGTGATTTGCTTTGGAGGAATATAAAATTAGTATGTGACACAATTATGGTGGCTCCCCTAGATCACCTGCCTGCCACCCCTCCATGATCTTTTTTATTCCTGCTTTTACAATTAGGATGGTAGGTAAACTACTGAGGACAATGCAGAGCAACACTTTATGAAAATCAATTTTTTGGCATTAAAATCCTTTACGCCACTTTCCTAAAATAAAACAATGCCTTACTCTGAATGTGATTTAACATACAAAAAAACAAACAAAAAATGGAGGAAATTACTTCTAAAATAATGCCAACATTAGTAATAATGTTTTTCTTACCTCATTATTACAGGAATAGATGAAATTCTGGCTTTCTGAGGTGTCTGCATGACACTCTCTTGCAAAAGTTTCTTTCTGTTCATTCTGTACACTGAGTTCCAAACCTTTGGCAGGTGGTGGTTTAATCAAAGGAAGCAAGCAGTTAGGGCCAGGGAAGGACATTTCTGTAGCATGACCTCTGGATGTTTCATTCGACTCCAACATAGGTTCTACAGAACATCTTTCCACACTGGAGGACTCCTCAATTTCACTGAGTTCAAAAGATTCTAAAGTGCTATTTATGGACACATACTTTGCTGGGTTGCTGTGCTCTACCACTTTTCGGGATGATCGTATGACTTTGTTCTGATTACTGTAAAACAGAGCTACCCACATGTGAAGTAAAAGCTTCACTTCTTCCACATTATCAGGCAAATTAGTGTTCCAGGGCCTAAGATTTAAAAGAACACACAAAAAATAACTGAAATAGTTATTTGATTTTCTTATCATAAACAAGTGCCTCCATAAGAACTATAGTTTGTTTTTATTTTAAAAATTATATAGATATGAAAAAATGAGTAAATATGAAGTTCAAACCCCTTTGAAATCTAATCTAATTTAAATCTAACCCATTTTAAAGAGAAGGGAAGTGAGAACATTTAAGTGAGTTTTTTCAAATCACAACATTGTGTGGCAGAACTCTGATCCAAACATAGCTAATTCCTAGTTTCCTAAGTAAAAACAAACATGGGTAAGGAAAGAAGTCTGATACATGCAAAGTCCATTTAGTCACATGTGAACTGAAAGAAAACATTACACCTAATGCTTCTAACAGCCATGTKAGTATATTTGTTACCATTTATCATGATGTGCAAAAGCCCAATATGTGTAACAACCTCAGTAGGTAGCTAATGCTAAACCCATGCTTACAAGTGTTACCCACACACTGTCATCCTTCAATGACATCACTTGCAAACCTATTAGAAATGCCACCTCTCAGGCCTCACCCCAAAGAGAAAACACCAAAGTGAGATCTGTAAATGAGCTACATACACAATAAAGATTGTAAGCACAAAACTTGCTTAGGGTCACAGGAGGTAATAAATGGAAAGAACTTAGATGCAAGCYTACACTAGTCTAAAATCTAACCATTCTGTTATTATTCCCTTGAAACCTTCTTAAGGAAGATTTCTAGAACAAGCCTACGTAAAAATCACTCATTTCTATCAACCTGATTATTATTAAGAAGTAATTTTTAATACTTAACAATTTTAAAAAATGTCTCTTTTGGAATTTAGCCTAAAAAACATTATTTCTATGTCTTATACTGTTTTACATAAAGATCTCATCTAAAAACCTATAATAACTCAAAGACTACAATTGGTGATGGAGTACTGCAAAATGGAAAGCCATTTATGAAGCTAAAGGTATTTTTAAACACTCTCCATGTAATCATCAAYACTGGCAAAGCCTGCCTGTTACTCTAAACTCAGTAAACAAATCTGCTTGGTATTATTACCAAATAACTAGTTTTAAACGCATTTCTTTCTCTTTGCAAAGTCTGGCACAAATATCTGTGTAACTCAACAGAAAAGTTACAATCATTTTTTCAAGTTTCACTCACACTTACCCATGCAATGCTCTTATAACAGTTTTCTCCAGTGGATTGTTAGTATATTTGCTATCTAAGTTGAATGAATAGTCTGTTTCACATTTGAAAGTGACTTTAAAGGAGCCATCACAGCTAAGCACACTATGGGAGCAATAAAAATCTTTTAGGTGGGAAGATACAAATCGATTTTTGCGCTTTATCAATGAATCCTCAGAAACCTTTTGGAGAGGGGAAGTATTCTGTAGATGCCGAAAAGGCATGACTTTTCCCACTGGAGTTCCAGCATCAGGACCTTTTGTCCCATTCTTGGCAAAAGCAGGGCCTGGTAACCCTCTCGGCTGTAGATGTTTCTTTGAATGTTCCACAAGGAGCAGGGCATATGAATGTTCCACAGCAACCAGCGAATTTTGGCTTGCATCTGAAGACTTTACTGTTTCCTCAGGGGATGCTGACTGGGCTTCATCATGGGCCTGACAAGGTACCAAGCACTCGTCTTCCYGACTAACTGTTAAGTCTAACCCTGAGTTACTCTTTCTATCAGAGGACAGTTTGGGTAACAGTACACCTTTTTGACTTTTAATGCCCCTATGATATTCATGGTCAGAGGTACCATGCAGTGAATTTTCTTTAGAGAGTAAAACATCATTCTGTGGCAATTCAGAGGAGCAGGGAAGAATTCTAGGCTCACAAGATGGGGTGCAAGAGGTAGCAGAACTTAATGCAAGATCAGCTAACATATTTAGGGCCTGGGAGTCATAGTTCATAATGGAGTTTTCAGGAAGATCTTTATGAGCCACTGTGGTGCTTTCTGGTTGATCTGTATTTATACTAATCCCATCTTTTTGGCCATCTGATGAAATTTTTGATTGAAGCTGTAAAGCAGTTTCTCCCTTAGCTTCAGCAAAAAAGGGGAAAAAAAAGGGGGACACATATAACATTTCCTTTTCATAGAATTCTGTCGCATATTACTATGTCTTAATGAAAATTAATGGTACTAATGGTTAAGACAACATATCCRAGAAAAACTATATTACATAGATTGCATATTAAAAGTTTGCTATCAGACTAAGGTCTCTTTCAATACTCAGATCWATTTTAATGTGTTGCTCAATGGAACAAAATTTAAAGAACATTTAATTTTTAAAAAATCATCACTCCAAAATGCATGTATTAAATAACACACAAGATGTACTGCTCACATCAAGAAATATACAAAGAAGAAAAAGAAAACTTTCAGTCCTTGCTCTCAAGGGGCTTACAATCTAATGAGGATGTAAGAATGTAGAAGTATGAAATGTGTGTTAAGGTCAGATAATACACTTTCTCAGAAATCATTTCCCTTAATAAGTGGTTTATTAAAGAAGCCACCTAAGTTCAAAWTAGAGATGATTTTAAACTATATTATCTTTAATTATAAAATGTAATATGAATATAAAATTAGAAAGTCATAATATGAATAAARTAAATCAATGAAGGCAGAGTATTCAGAATCACCAATTAATTTTATCATTTCTTATACTTTCAGTCATGAAAACATTATCCCTTTATCTGCAAAAAAAAAAAAAAGCAAATATACTGAAAAATTTTCTTTCTGTAGATAATGAAATCTCTCTATTTTCCCTTAATCATAAAATTTATAATTTATAGTGGTTTGTTTATGCATTTTCAGGCCACTACTTAATCATTCTTTTACATGCTGTTCTGAAGGATAAAGTTCACAWCTATTCCAAGCAATGATTACCTGATGCAGGTAAATGAATGAACAGAAAAGCCAACTGTGCTTCTCTTTATAATTAACTGTAGTACTTCTGAAAACAATTGATAACGTACCTTCAAAAGTCAATAACTAATACATTTAAAGAGAAGAAAACTACAGCTTATAATGTCATCAATCAGAATGAYGAAATATGTAGAGGAAAGGTGAAATCAATCAATTACTAACCAGTTTTTATTTAAAATAGCAAAACCCAAGGGGGGTTTTGAGCTTAAAGCAGAACTGTCTTGTTCACCCCCACAGGTATATTAAAACTTGCAATTTATTTTATGATCTGGTACATTTACTGATAATAGAACAGAATGAATTTCATTCTATTTTGTTCACATGATGGCTTCCATACACTTGTCTATCTCTTATACAGAATATCATATTAGTTAAGCCTAACATGAAGAACACTTGTGTTGAAGTCAAAAGAATACAGTTAAATAAATACAGTCTCATGTAAAGTCACTTAATTATTGACCTAGTACAGTTCTTCATTAAAAATAAAATGTCATAATATACCTGTAAGACATACAGATAAGAAAAGACAATGCTAAATAAATTCAGTGAATAAAAAACTATCACAAACTTTTAAAAGGACAGAAAATCATTAGTCTCAGTTTAAATAACATCAATAATTTTCAAATTGAGGTCAGCAAGGCCATATCCTATCTGCCTTCTTAAACTCTTGATTATTTCAAGTACAAAAAGTAAAATAGATCAGTACAGGTGATTAAGAAATAAAAAAAAATTAAGAGACTAATTTATAAGGTAGTAACCTAAAAACTTTAATTTGGCATGCTGCTGCATAATCCATAAATATCTGCAATACAGTGGGCCTATTTTTAAACATCCATTCTTTTTTGTGGGGGCAGTGGGGTGGGTACTAGGGATTGAACCTGTGTGGTACCAGCTGTATCACTTAACACATCCCTAGCCCTTTTTATTTTTACTTCAAGACAGGGTCTTGCTAAGTTCCTGAGGCTGGCCCTTCAACTTTCAATCCTCCTGTCTCAGCCTCATGAGTCACTGGGATTACAAAGGCATGTGTCACTGTGCCCCACTAAACATATATTCTGAAAACTCAATTTTCTGGGCTTACTTTTTTGTCACCATCCTACTAAATAATTTCTTTCAATTTGTCAATATATATCTAAAAGCCAATTCARTACAAAGAATTCAAGAAAGTGCTAGGAAAAATACATTTAAATGTTTACAAACTAATTGGAACAATAGGACAACAACATATTTAATAGAAAATAAGATAAATTAAATTCCTTAACATTCTCTAAAACCCAACAGAAACTGGACGTGGTGGTGCATACCTGTAATTTCAGCTGCTCAGGAGCCTGAGGCAATTTAGCAAGATCTAGTTTCAAAATAAAACTTAAAACAACTGGAGAGATGGGATGATTGCCTACCATGTGTGAGGCCCAGTTCAATCCCCACTACTGCAAACAAATAAGAGACTCCCAATAGGAAATGAGATWAGTGAGAGAGTGTAAGGAATCTTCTCTTTGTGAAGGTATAACTCAGTAGTGTAAAACTTGGGGCAGAGGGGGAAGTGCACAAGAGTAAAAAAACACCTATGCTACACAGAGAGAGGCACAGATGACTAAGAGGGGAGGGACATGTCAAGAAACAGCTGGAGTAAATATGGATACATATGGTAGGACCACACCATGAATTCCCTTCAGAAATAAGCACAAAGGTTCAAATTTGGTATGGAAGTCAAAACTGGATCATTTTCATATGGTGTGATGAGTTTTTAAAAAAATTTCAGTCATAAGACAATAAAGGAACTTAAAAACAAATAAGTTGACCTATAATTTCACAGCCCCCAACAAAACAATACTTTCTCTGAATTACCACTATCTGTGAGACACATAAAAATCTAGTGATAAGGGAGAAAACAGAATAAGGGGAATCAGATTTTAAAAACTAACTGAAATATCAAGATATGAGGAATTCAATCTCTTTGTTAAAAACAACAACACATATACTACAACAAGACTCAATACCAAAGGTAAAGGGTCATATAAGTGTCCACACTGCAGTTTGGTACAGAGGATGCATACCATACATAGCAAAGTCATGAAGGAAAGCAAACCCAGAAGTAGAGAAGGCGTGTGTTCAGTTGCAAAGAGGTAAAGTCTGAGTTAAAAACAACACTTTCTACAGTTAAGAGGTTATGCCTAACAAATACAAAGTAGAGCAGTCCGGTTTTCTTCACGTAATTAAACTTTACTATCCACTTAAAATTAGCAAATTAAAATAACTTTTAAAATTAAATTAATGTCTTTTAAACCAAATACAGGATTCTGGATTACTGACAGATTTGAGCAATCTTTTTAAAATTCCTTTAGACAAATTTATAATATTCTACTTTTTATAACTGCTCATGACTCAGTCAAATACTGCTAGATACTACTTGCTTATGCATGTAGTCATGAATCAGGCCATTTATACTTCAACGCTTACAAGCAATTTATGTAAGACTTCATGCAAATTAAAAAGTAGGGTCTATTGTGTGATTTAAATAGTGCCCTTTTCTAGTGTATTTACAATAGGAAACCAAGTTATTTATGTTACTGTCAGAATATAAAAAAAATTACTGATAAATTTCAACTGCTAATATTATTTCAACATATTATGTTGCAATCTCTATGAGATCAGTATTGTAGTGTTTACATTTGCAGGAAGAATGGTTCTTACCAGGTTGTGGCTGCTTTCTGATTCTGGGATTCTGATTGCCTTTTACTACATTTACCCTCTGTTTTTGTGGAGATTTCTTCATAGGTGGCTTAGCCCTTGGAACAGTTTTGACTGGAGATTTTTCTTGTTTCCTTGCCCTTTTAGCATTCGTTGACACTGGAACATCTTTAGAAATAGAAGCCTCTTGGTTTTTCCTATCCAATTTGGTTTTCTGTACAAACTGTGCAGTCAGCACTTCCGCACCTTATATAGAAAAGACACCATTTTTTAAGGGATGGGGCCCCAGGTATTTATCAGCATAGCTTTTCCCTTTATTTCTTTCATTTTGGGGCATAACTTTACTAAAGGGGAATAAACTATATTTTGGGGTAACATTAAGATTTTTTTTTTTTTTTAAAAAGGAGCTACAAGTTTTCACATTAAAAAAAGTGACTTGTTCCGGAAGCTAAGGCAGGATGATTGCAAGTTAGAGAAACCCTGTCTCAAAATAAAAAATGAAAAAAGGGCTGCGGATATGGCTCAGTGGTAAATCTTAGCAAGTCTTGGGTTCAATTCCTGGAAATAATAAATACATACAAACATACATAAATGAAATTGTTAAGTGTCTGTTTATAACCTCATCGGGTAAAGAAGAAAAATACAGCCCAATAACTTTACAAAAGTAAGGAACAAAATTTTTTTTTAATGTGTACAAACTTTTTTGATTGATGTGGCAGATAAGAATATGTTAATTCACAATCCCAGGAGATGGATAATTATATTTAAACAGAAAACAACACAGCTCTCATAAAGGTGATATGGTTAAAATTATGAATGTACAATCTCTGTAGTATGATTATAAAGAACCACACTGTATATTTTACTTTACTGTTTCTATTATCTAAATTTTTAATTTTTTTTAAACGTATTTTTTAGCTGTAGTTGGACACAATCTTTATGTTTTTTTTATGTGATGCTAAGGATCGAACCCAAGGCCTCACACATGCTAGGCGAGTGCTCTACTGCTGAGCCACAACCCCAGCCCAAATCTAAATTTTAATCCATCTGAAAAATAAATTTTTAAGAAAATATAGGGGAAGACTGACAAAAATYTGCACTTAAATTTCTATAAATCTATTTACAAAACAAAAACAAAACAAGACAAAAATCTGTCTTATATGATGCTGTTTGCTTTTTGCATGAAATTAAGAAAATAGCTTAAGATGGGAAATTAGGTGGGAAGGGAAAATACTGCCCACCTAAACATTACACAATAAAAGTTTCAAACTTTTTAAGAGTTAAAAACATGTTAATAAATACTCCATTTTCCCCATGGACTTTTCATAAATCTAGTTGTTTCCACCAGAAAGTTTAGATATATAAAATTTAGATATATATAAGATACATATAAAAAAAAGTTTAGATATATATAAGATATATAAAATTATCAAAAATGAATGTTGTCAAGAATTTTAAAGTTATAATATACAGAAAATAGCATTTCTCACTGAAAACAATAAACAGTATTAAACAGCATAATAAACTATGATGGCATTAGTGAATTATAAGGATAAAATAGAGATTCATTTATTCTTCTGGAATTAGAGAATCAGTACTTTAAAGACAGCTTTCAGAATAATCTCTACATTTCCCAGGGTCTAATTATTTTTCCCTATTAAATTATCACAGGAAATGAAGCAACACATCAGTCTTTTCCAAGAGTAAGACTTCTCTCATTTCATTCCAGTTATTTTCTAAAAGCTTCAGCACTCAGGCAAAATAAATATATCAAGCAGGAAAATGGTTAAGATTTAATTTAAAAAAAAAAAGAAAAAAGAAAAATTAGATAACCAAGACATGGGGGAAAGTTTCTAACATTTGCACAGTCAGGAAGGGAAGGTCTCTCACAAACCCAGGTCCTGAGGAAAGAAAAAGAAAAATGAAACACGGTGATTCTCAGGGATGGCATTTTGTTTGTATGGATTACTCAATGTCATGTTTCTCAAATTGCACTCAGTAATCCACTGGTAGGTTGTCAAATAAACTCAATGAAATAGAAATCATCAGATTGTATTATATATAATAAATGTATTATATACAGTAAAACAAAATTTTTGAAATTATCGTTTCAGTCATGTATGAATTTGGGGTAGACTATAAAACAAACTGTTTGAGAAATGGTAAAAATGAATATTGAATTACAGATTGTTTAATACGTTGAAGTAAATTAGTTTACATAGAATAGAAACAGTATGGTTGGCCTGGGATATATTTTAAAAACTTGTTGTAAAAAAAGGATTCAATACTTCATATTGCCATACTTTCCAGCACCCTCTTCAATACACATATACCACCCACAACATTTCTCAAACCAGAAAACCATAATAGGCCAGATATTATTATTTATTAAACCATAGGGTAAGGTTTTATTCATAATCTTGGAGATCCCTAAATCTTGTGTTTCTTCTTTAGGCATCAGCATTTTCTAATTCAAAATAGTATAGACAGGGCTGAAAAATTTTTTCTGTGAAAGGCCAGAAAGCACATTATTTTCYGCTTTGAAGGCCAAATAGTCTCTGTCATGACTGCTCAACACTGTCAAAGTAGAGTGAGAAGAGTCAGATGATTGATACAGGTATGACTCTGGCTTCTTGGGTAAAGTGTGTTGACCCTTTTGCTAAGTAGAATTTTCTATACTTTTAGAGAATGTATACTGTACATAATTTGAGATTACTCTATGCCAAAGTCATATGGTTTGCTGTCCTGAGCTAGCCAAAGTATATTTGTCAATAGAGTAAATGGTTCTAGACTCTGTCACTCAGTTTTTCGGGGCATCCAAACTGCTTATGGAACTTTTTCAATGTATGTTTTTCTAAGACACTGCTTATTTGTTTTAGGTGGTCAGTCCCAGGTGATCATTTAAAATATTCTGATACACAAAAAGGATGAGAAAGCTAGCCCAAGTGAAACACAAGTGAAACATAAGCTTTTGAGGTACCATCTCAGGGATGATATTTTGTTTGTATTGATTACTCAATGCCATTTTTCTCAAACTGCATTCAGTAATCCACTGAAACACAAGTGAAACACAAACTTTTGAGGTACCTCAGTTTCTCCCATTTCTTGGGTTTGCAGGGGTTATCTAGGTCACTGCTTTTCAAGCTTAGCATGCGTGCAAAATACCTGGGGAGATATGTTGGTGTTTCTAACAAACTTCTAACCCACTGCCCAAGCTGCAAACCACCAAATCCTGACAGAAACAGTGTTCAAATACAACTAACTAGTAATAATCCACATAAGTCATGCTTACCTCTTTTTCTTTTCTGAGGAAACTGTCCTTTAACTAACTTAAGGGTTGTTGGAGAGTGCGATCCACTGTCTGTTCCGGGTGCAGTTCTTTTGGGAAGAGGGCGACACAGATTAACYCTTTTATTCTGCACCAGGAGTGGCATGCTGGCTTTTCTCTTTGGCTGCACTCTCAGATTTGATGCTGGATTCAGTGGAACCACCACTCCCTTTTTTGCTGTCGATATTTCCTCAGAATTCTTTTCTGTTTCAGTTTCTTTCCTTACTTCCACCTCTGAGTCAAGAAATTCAGAATCTGGAGTCATAACTAAAGAAAATCCAGCATCACAAATTCCATCTGAAATACAAGGAGACTGAGGACGCTCTGCTAACAAATCCAAAGCAGCAGAAACTTCCAAAGTGTAACCACTAGGATCTGAAAAATAAGACTTCAACTGAGTTAAAAACTGTAATGGGCACTTTTCAGGTGGAGGAACCAAGTCAAAACCATTGGACGATTTCCCAAAGAATGCAGTCTTTTTCATTCCATCCCGAGCAACCGTCAATGAAGGGCTTTTATCTGTCTTGTACAGTTCTTGAAAATTGTGCTTTACTAATGTGCTTGGACAGGTTCCTTCCTCAGGAAGTGATTTCTTTGCTTCGAGCAGGGCATARTTAAGTGCAGGTAAAACAGGTATCACTTTCAGTGAGATGTCATCTTCAACTTTCAAATCTTTCACCCCTAAAATGTATGTCATGTATTAAAAACCTGAAATTGTTTTTTCTCTTTAAATAAAACATACAAGAAAAAAAGATATTTAGATGAAATGGTTAAATATGCTATGTTTCAAATGACACCTAAATAGCAATTTTAAAAGACTTACAGATATACTTCATGAATAAGTATGTCCATATATTTGATATTAAATGCACACATTGAACTGAAAAAGAATCATTTGACATAAAATTGCTAGGTTAGAATGAATAAGCTAAGCCCTGCCTCCAGCTCCATTTCACTTGACAAGCAGTTCAGAAGGAGCTCAGTTGGTCCTTCATAGCAGTAGCTCTGGCCATTACAGTRGGCAGATTTGCTTTCCTGCTTTTTAATTCTCATTTTCTTTCTTTAAAATATATGTACCTTATTTTATATGTACCTTATATAACTCACATCAAAATCTTTTTAGAAGTTATATAATGCAAATCAGATGCAACTGAAAGAAGTAAAGGATTTAAATAATCCCCAAATCTCAATGAAAGAACAGTTGCTAATTTCATCACCTTTCTGATCAAATGAAACAAAATTTTAAAAATTAACTAAACCAATTACCTGTGTTTCACCTCTTTTCCTTGKTTCACTCTGTTAATTTTTTAGCAAATGGATAACTTAAAAAGAAATAGTGAGAAAAAGGAAAGGCCAGATCCTCTATGAACTGCTTATTAATTGTTGATGGACTTTATTGTCTTTATTTTTATGTGGTGCTGAGAATCGAACCCAGTGCCTCATGCATACCAGGCAAGCACAGTACCACTGAGCCACAACCCCGGCCCCTGAACTGCTTATTAAAATATTGGAAAATTTCAGWCACTAATAATATAAATCTACATATACAAAGACTTCCAATAGCCAGAAGYTGCAAATAGGAATTATACAATCTTTTTAAAGAAAAGGTACCCAAAGAATTACTAACCCCAAGTTAGTCCTAGTTAAATATAGTAACATAATAAGTATTAGGAAAAGGAAAAAAAAAAAAGGTAAGTAAGAATAAACAGGAAAATGTGGCTATATATTGAAACAAAAATTCCTTTCTTTAAAGTTCATCACTTWAAAGAATTAAGGAAAAATAAAAAGCCCTTATGCATTTATAAGCACACAGTTTGCAATAAAGTATCCTTTTAAAGGCAATTTCATTATTTCGAGATGGAATTTGGAAAGGCAGAACCTAATATGATTTGTCATAGACTATCAAAAAATCCATGAAAGAGGGCTGGGGCTATAGAGCACTTGCCTTGCATGTGTGAGGCACTGGGTTCTATCCTTAGTACCACATAAAAATAAATAAATAAAGATGTCATGTCCATGTATAACTAAAAAAAAAATTTTTTTAAATCTATAAAAGAGAAGTTAGCTGCAATATATTACTCTCCCCCACCTTGGAAGATTTAACCTGGGGGGTGCTTTACCACAGCGCTACATCCCTAATTCTTTTTAATTTTGAGACGGGGTCTCTTTTTAAGTTGCTTAGGGCCTCACTAAATTGCTGAGGCCAGCCTTGAACTTGTGATCCTCCTGTCTCAGCCCCCCAAAGTCACTGGGATTGTAGGTATGAGCCACCATGCCTGACTAATATTATTCAATTTAAAACAAATAGCTTAAGTTTTACTTCTGAATGACGGTTTAGTATTTTTTTTTTTAAAGTCTTCATGAGCCTGAGTAACACATGAAACACAAAACCCCAATAAGTATTCAAACAAAATTCTTGTRCTGTTCCTGGGTATAAACAGTAATGGATCTTATACAAGTTTATAATTTAAAAATAAATCAACTAAGGGGTTATAGCTCAATGGTAGGGCGCTCGCCTATCACGTGCGAGACCCTGGGTTCAATCCTCAGCACCACATATCAATAAATAACATAAARGTATTGTGTCCAACTACAACTAAAAAATAAATTGATTTTTAAAAATCAACTTAAGCCAGGCATGGTGACACACACATACAAGTCCCAAATATTTGGGAAGCTGAGGTAGAAAGATGACCTGACCAATGAATTAAAGATCAGTTTGGGCAGCATAGCAAGATTCTGTCTAACACCACCAAATATATTTTAAAAATAAAACAAGCAACAATAACAAAACCTTTAAAAACTTTTCTGTAATGATTATAGCTTTATAAATTCAAGACATAATTTTTTGTTAAAAAACACACAGTGTCGGGCTGGGGTTGTGGCTCAGTGGTAGAGTGCTTGCCTAGCCATGTGTGAGGCACTGGGTTCGATTCTCAGCACCACATATAAATAAGTAAATAAAGATCCATCAACAACTAATAAAAATATTTTTAAAAAGAAGTTTAAAAAACATACAGTGTAGGGCAGGTGATGAAGCTCAGTGGTACAGTACTTAGCTACCATGTATAAGACTCTGGGGTAGCTCCCTAGTTCCACAAACAAAACAAAACCCCACATATTTATGAAACAAGTGAGAATTTCTTCAGGTTGACCAAAAAAAAAAAAAAAAAAAAAGATTCACTTTTATTTATTTGTTCAGCAAATATTTATTATTTTTGAGGTTTCTAGCATCAGTAGACCTTAAAGATAGAAGAATATAAAAAAGGCAGGCACTAGGCTGGGGATATAGCTCAGTGGTAGATAATGTGTTTAGCATTCATGAGGCCCTAAGTTACATTCTTAGCACAATGAAGAAAAAAAAGAGTTACAAGAAGGGTAGGTATTGAAATACACAAGTAAATATTTACATTATATTAATGGTAAGCATTGTTGAGGTTATTAAAAAACTGATACCGAAACTACAACTTGACATATATGAATAAGTTAGATCAGTGTTCCTTAAGGTTTTTGTTCATTATCCTCCCCCAGGAGCCACCTTAGCCTTTTCCCCTAATTGCCATAAAAAAAATGTAATACCAAAGATACACTGCATATCTGTTTTCGTAATATATAAGTAATATTTTWTCACCACAGGAATCAAATTTTGGTCCTTTGGGCATTCAATGTCACTCTGAGAATGCATAAGCCAAATATGGAGAACAATAGTCCAAACAGTGAGAAGAGTATCCATAAAGACCCTGAGTTCTCCTACTGGATAGGCTATGGCAAAACAAYCTCCTAGCTACTGTTGTTCAATAACAAACAAATTCAATTTTAGACATTCTGAATTTGAAGTACCTTGGAGATATCAAGGTGGAAATGTCAGTGGATATTGTGAGATGTGTGTGTGAAGCCCAGAGGAAACGATAAGCCTGCAAAGGAGGTCTGGGATCAACTAGGAAAATTAAGGGATGAGAGTTACTTAAGAAGAAACAGCACTTAATAGTTCATGTGCTACTGAGAGGTCAAGTCAGAAGAGGACTGGGAAACACACAACAGACCAAGTGAACTGAATACCACTGTGTCCTTACCTGTTGACAGGTGTGAATGGAACAAATATAACCCATGTAGACCTATCTGCTCACCTCCCAAATCTATACAGAATGAGAATCAGAAGAAGAAAAGTTAGGTTGCCAATCTTATATACCAAAAGTTAAGTACGCTGAAAAATATTTCTTCCAAAAAAACATGTGTCCTTACTTGGTTCTGGTATTAAGGCTGATGATGTAAGTAAAATAAAAAATCCCCGGTCTTCTAAGCATTTGATGATTGCCTGAAAACACAAAAAATAAAAGTTTTTTTTAAAAAAGAATCTTTAACACCTCTCTCCTCTACCACACAGTGTATACTGAGCTCAAAAGAATTTAAAAATTTTTTGAAATGTTAATGTTTCCAGGAATCACAGAATTTAGAGCCCAGTTTTAGAAATTGCCAGTTTCTTAGCAAAAAAATCATGGCCATGTTCTAAGTATATTAACTATAACAGCAAGGGTTAGTTTATAATAGTGCTTAACTATATAGCAGGTCAATCAGAAAAAGCTTTTTTTAATCTTCCCCCACTGAAATAGTTGCCATTTCAAACCACTGAAGGCAAAGTTACCAGGTAGCCCACTGATTCACATGATAATTACTATAGAATCCTGAAACTAAAAACACTATCCAATGAAAGAATCCTTTTAATAACATCCTAAACTATCCTTTTAATAAGAATCCTTTTAATAACATYCTAAATTATCAAAAAGTTATTATCGCAAATCATAAAGTTAATAGTTCTTTTCCATTTTTAAAAATGTACCCCTAACAAAGATAAAATCCAATATCCATACAATATTAAAAACAAACAAAACAAAACAAATACAAAAACAAAAACACAACAACTACTGAGACATCAACATAAATTGTGGTACAAGGGGGATAAAAACATATTAGTCAATGAATATTATGTCYATAGACTGGGCATGGTGTATGCCTGTAATACCAGTGACTCTGGAGGTTGAGGCAGGAAGATCATAAGTTGGAGGCCAGTCTGGGTAACTTAACGAGGCCCTCAGCAACTTAGTGAGACCCTGTCTCAAAATAAAAGAAAAAATTTCAAAAGGCTAGGAATGGAGCTCAGTGGTAAAGCAAACCTAGGTTCAATTCCCATTAGCCAAATAAATAAATAAATACCACACATTGAGAATTCTTTTCGCAAATTAAAAAACTTCAATCTAGGCATAGCCAACTAATATGTAGATTTCAATTTCTCAATTAAGGTGAAATAATTACATTTTAAATGAATGACTCTTACCAACTGTTTATTTTTAATGTACTCTGTTAGTTTATCTATCCTTTCCCCTTGTTTATTTGACAGTTCCACTTCATACAAATCAAAGCACAAATCTTGGCAAGAGACTGTAAAGGAAATTAGAAAAACAACATTCCTTATGTTTTTTTTTAATAGTTCGTTCATTCATTTTGTATGTCACAAAAATGAAAGATAAACTAAGACTATTTCTTGATAAACTTTTATCACTTAGTGTTCTTAGTTATAAAACGTAAACTTATTGAAATAATTATTTTAAAACAATGCTCATTTACACTGACACTGCTAAAGGATTAATAAGATAAATAACTATATAAATAAAATAAACATCAATATTCCAAAGATTAACCTAAGTGACCAAAATTTTTTCTTCTCACATTTTTTTTTCATTTTAAAGAATATAAGTAAAAACAGCAACAAAAACTCTGCTATCTTTGATAGGAAATGTCTATGAGTTTCTAGTTATTTTTAATATCTACTTAATTCTCTCAGTATTCTAAAAGCTAGTCTTATTATCTTAGATAAACTACCTTTAACATTTTCTGGATGAATTCCAAGGAATTGACGAATATGGCAAATCTAGAACTTTCTCAAAAAACTCTTAAAGAATCTCTTAAGATTAATAGAAGAAAAGTTTKTGTGTGTGAGAGCACATGAACTACAAGAGAAAATGGGAAATAACAAGAACAAAAGCCCAGAACATGCAGTGTGCCATTACATTCAACAGACCTTTGTGCTCCAAGTAGTTCTGTTTGTTAAAGGCAGCTTCTGGTAGTCGTTTTTTCAAAGAAGACACTTTCATTACATACTTAAAATCAAGTTCCTGTGGTCTAAAAAAACAAGGATATCAAGCAATGCAATAAATACTGAAATTATATATAGTTCCATAATTTTTGGTTTTCTAACATAAATGCAAACAAAAATATAATGACCACAAAAGTTCTTACAGTGATAAAATCTAGGTTAAATAATATGCATATGTATATACTGTACAGATTTTCAACAAATGACCCAAATGTGCAAACTGGTTCACATTTTCTGAATACATGCAATTTTGATATAACCAAAATATACTGATGTTTCAACAAATTATATAAACTGCAAATTGAGAACTTAAAAAATCATGCTATCTAAGAGTTGAAAACTCTTACACATGCAGATTTTTTGAATCACCTCCCAACTACTTTTTCCTTTTTCAAAACTTATTTTTGGAAGGTTTAGACTAGCTTAAACTGTGCAAAAATGGTACAAAGAATTCTTCTATACACTTCAGATTTCCTAAATGTCACCAGCATACCATATTTACTTTATCATTCTTCCTTTCTATATATCCATATTAATTCTGATTCTTTTGAAAATAAAATGCAAATGTGATGTCTTTTTACCCAAATACTTCTTCAAAAAGGAAATTTTCTGACACAATGACAAACCAATCAGTAAAATCAAGAAATTCACAATGTTATAGTACTATTACTTAACCTACCCCTTACTCAACTTTTGTCAAAGTCTCAGTAAGATCTTTTGCAGCAAAAGTAAGCAATTTCCTATACAGGATGTCAATGCATTTTGTTATCATATCTCTTTGGTCTCCTTTTATCTGGAACATTTCTTAGTCTTTCTTTTCAAAAACCAGATATTTTAAAGAACACAGACCATTTTGTAGAATGCCTGTGTATCTAGGTAGGTCAAATGCTTCCTCCTGATTATATTAGCAGCAATACCACAGACAGAAAGGATACAATGTCATTCTCTCTGCATTATACCAGAAAGCAACTGACATCTATTCCATTAATAGTTACATTAACTTGACCCTTAGTTAAGATGGGATTTGTCAGTTTCTTGCRCTTTTGTGATTAATAAGCAAGTTAGAGGGATATATATGCAAATATCAATCAATCACCTACTGCTTTTAGCATCCACTTGATTATTATACTTCAACATGTTTTTGTACATTTGGTAGTTGTGCTCTATTTTGAGGAAGAATTTTTCCTTCTCATTTATTCAAAAAATTCTTATTTTATTTTATGATTTTTTTAATATTTTTTAATTGTCAATGAAGCTTTATTTTTTATTTATTGATATGTGATGCTRAGAATCAAACCCAGAGCCTCACACATGCTAGGCAAGCGCTCTGCCACTGAGCCACATCACCAGACCCTTATTTTATGATTTATACCTCTCTGTCTCTTCATAAGAAAGGGMCAACAGAAAGAAACTGAATGGATACCATACCAGTTTTCACCATTTATTTCAATTCAACTATGTCTATATTTCAACGATTTAGAATACAAAGAATTGGTAAAAGAAAATATTTCATAAGATGTACTTTACAGTTTGCCTGGAGAAAGTATTAATTATGATAATTCATTACAATGTAAATAAATGTAACAGCTACTTTATCTAACACCCCCCCCCCACCGTCACAGAATCATGTAAAAACTAGAAACTCAGATACTGCTTATGTTTTTTTTTCTTTTTTTTTGTTACCAGGGATTGAATCCGGGAGTGCTTAACATCCTAGTCCCTTTTCCTTTTCTTTTTTTATTTTGAGACACAGTCTTGCTAAGTTGCTTAGAGCCTTGCTAAGTTGCTGAGCCTGGCTTTAAACTTGTCATCCTCCTGCCACAGACACCCAAGCCCCAGGGATTACAGGTGTGTGCCACCATACCTTGCAGATACTGCATATCTTAATAAAGACTTAGTAACAGGMTTGAATGGCTATAATCTTGTATTTGTTATTAAGGCAAATCTGATTCACTTTGGGGAAAAGTCAAATCTCTAATATAAAGTAATTTATTCTGAGAGATCATTTTCCCATCAATAGATTAGAATTTAGGTCTCCTGTGTCATATCCTTGTGCTCTATATACCTACTCAAATATATCTAAAAGCAAGTATAACTGYTGCAATTCACACCAATGCCAACCAGCAAGACCTCAGATGGGAATTTTAAAAAAAWTTTAAATTAAAAAATTAGGATTAGGAGTATAGCTCAGGGGTGGAGTGCTTGCTTAGCATGGGCAGGGTTCTGGGTTTGAAAGCCAGCAGTAGGGGGGGGAAAAACCCTATAAAACTTCATATAAGCATTTAGGAAGGAAACAAAATACAATACTTACAGCTGTGTTGGAATTATTGTACCGTAAGTAGACCAAAGAGTTATATCACACAGCACACAACCTTGAATAATTAATCTCCCTTTCCATGGAGAGAGAACTTTAAGAAATGAGAATAAAAAAGGAAACTGATTATTTATGAATAAAACATTTACTAAAAACAAAAAACTGAAAGACTAATAAAATAATTTCTTACCATTTTTACTGAGTTCAATTCTATAAAAAGAAAAAAAAAGCATTCTTATTAGAGGCAAAAGTAGTTAATCCCAGTAAAACAAAGTATGCATATAATTACTTACATGCTATTATGAGCTGGTGCTGCCATCTTTTTAGGCTCCCGGTACTGAAAAGCTACAATTACATAAGGACAGATCTGTCTTGGTCTCTTAATAACAGTGTCGCCTGAAAGTTCATAGAGGTAATACTGGAAAAAAAAAAAAATTATATATATATTATCAGTGCTATGGAATTACATACACATCAAATTTACCTCTATTTYACCCAGCCCTAAAATTTAGCACATTAGATTCAGAAATATACTTTAGGTATTATTTATTCACAGGTGACTCTACCTGACTCAGCTCAAAGGCACGAAAATGACTTGTCTTGTGAGAAACTTTGTTTGTATCTGCCGCCACGTGGCAATCATAGCCAAAAGATGGCCTAGTGTAGTTAGTTGTATAATTCTCAGACACAAACTTGACTTTTCCCTGGAATGAAAATATTAAGATTAATCAGATGTCTTCAAATAGCAAAAACATTTACTCTAGAATTCATAAGCCTAACAAGAAAGTGATTGTGTTTGCACCACCAGTAACTATAGTAAGAATTATCTTCTTTAAAAAMAATGATCTTGGGCTGGGGCTGTAGCTCAGTGGCAGAACACTTGCCTAGCACGTGTGAGGCACTGGGTTTGATCCTTGGCACCACATAAAAATAAATTCAAATAAATAAAGGTATTCTGTCCATCTACAACTACAAAACAAAACAAAACAATGATATTAAGGCCAATAATAGTTTCAATTATCACAAACCCTTTAAAATTATATTTAAAAATCTTATGTGTTTGGTTATCTTTCAGAGCCAAATACAGCTTTTATCACAATATCAAAGGAATACAGGAATAACTACAAAATTAAGAGAACCAGAAATAATCTTGTTTGCCAGGCAGTAGTGCACACTTATAATTCCAGTGACTCAGGAGGCTGAAGACAGGAGGATTATTAGTTTGAGGCAAGCATCAAACTTAGTGAGATCCATTCTCAAAATTAAAAAAAAAAAAAAAAACCAATTAAGAGGAAAAACTACACAGTCCACCATATTTTTTTAAAGTATTTTTTTAGTCTTAGATGGGCACAGTATCTTTATCTACATGTAGTGCTGAGGATCGAACCCAGTGCTTAATGTGTGCGAGGAAAGTGTTCTACCATTGAGCCCCAGCCCTACCCACCATCTTTCATGATATACTCTGTGAATGGCTATTTAGTAGTAATAACAGAAAATRTAACAAAATTTGAAATTTCAAAAGATGAATTTCCAAACCAAAGTATTAATAATTGTAAATCATGCCAGGGCCCAAAAGTCAGCAACAAGCAAATATGTATAAAGTGCTTAGGCCTTAAAGTGTAAGGCAGTTAGCCTTGATCACCAAACAGCCAAAAGTATTTCCCATTATAGACTTTTCTTCAACAAGGATCAAAGTCAAAGTTACCATATGATGAATTACAATTATGTAAAACCTGAATAAACAATAATAAAATATTGAATAATATAATGACATAAGAAAAATGTTCATAATATGTTAAGTTTTAAAAGAATTAGCATGCAAATATACAAACCATAAACTTTTTATGAGTTAGGAAATCAATATGTATGGGGGGAAATATACATCATACATACCAATGTGAGATATGAGAGCATAGACAATTTTTACTTTTAGAGGCAGGGTCTCTCTGAGTTGCTTAGGTCCTCACTTAAATTGCTGAGGCTTGCTCTCAACTCACGATCTGCCTGCCTCAGCCTCCTTAACTGTTCGTCCAAATCTGGCTGGAACTACATTTTTTACAGAAAAATTTTTTTATTGTTCTTGAAGTCCTGCCTCTTTACTTATAGGACCTACCGAAGACAATACTAAGAGGCCAAAAAAGGTAAATAATACTACTCAATAACTGCAACCTCTACCTTTTCCCATGAAACACCTATGGCACTGAGCATTTTTTGCTTTTCTGAAATAAAATGAGGACTGAGAGCACCTAAGCAAATATTAAACAGCAATCTCTAGCCAGACAGGGGAGCAGACACTGGCAACAAACCAACTTACATGATCAAAACCAAAATGCTTATTATCTGCGTTAATAGGCCTACTTTCTGCTAGAACTACAACACTTGTCACAGAGCAGAATGAAGTTTAAGACAAGCAAGGACAGTACATCATGTCAGTGTTATTTTTCCCTCTAGTTCTTGGGGACAAACTTTAAAATATGAACAGTTTACACTCTTTAAAAAGTCAGTAAAACTGKGCTGGGGTTGCAGCTCAGTGGTAGAGTGCTTGCATCATATGCGTGAAGTCCTGGGTTCTATTCTCAGCACCACATTAAAAAAAATAAACAAAAGTAAAGATATTGTGCCTATCTACAACTAAAAAAATATTTTTAAAAAAGTCAGTAAAACTAAAACTAAAAAACCCCACCCACATCGAAAATCAAATTTCCTGCCATTTGGATGAAAATACTAATTGAGCGCCTCACTTAAACTGAACTACTTAGGACTTTTAAGATTTGTGACATTAGTACTAAGGTGCCATATGAAGTTGTGAACAGGCTTTGAATGTCTTAAAAATAAAGAAAACGAATACTTCTTATTTTGACAATTCAAATCAGACAATAAATGTTGTTTAAATCCATTTTCCATAACTGTAATCATATTATTTTATAAGCAGCTACTTGTTTTATTCCATATTTTAAAAGGAGTTCTGCTAGATAGGGATGAGAGGAAGACTTTTCACTAAACAATTTTTTTAAATTATTATTTTGAAGTTTCTTTTCTTAAATATGTTCAGATGATGTATTAAATGAACAAAAATTTGTTTTCAAAGAAAAGAAAAATTAGTTTTGCTTTTACTGAGTTTGAATAACTTGTCTTAGACAATTACTACATTTAGTTAATGCTCTACAAAGAATACCATAAGGGGCTGAGTATATAGTTTAGTTGGTAGAATGCTTGCCTTGCATGCACAAGGTCCTGGGTTCAATCCCCAGCACACCACACACACACACACACACACACACACACACACGACAAAATATATCTTAAGTAGATAACCTTCAGTTTTTAAAATAAAATTATATAAAAGCACATCTGGGCCTTTACCTTAATTAGATTAAAAATTACAACATAACCAGATTTCCCATGATACCATGGTCTTGGATGAAGACAGTCTGAGTATTTGGAAATGTATATACCTATAAAAGTATAAAACATAGATTAATTTACACTTTAACAGATAATTTATACAGATACAATTCACATGTAGGACTATCTTTAAATAATACTACAAAAAGAACGGATAAAAGTCTATTTTTAAAATGCTATGTTGATATTGCTTATACCTTTTTAAGAATCACTATGTTTCAAAACCTTAAAGTTAAGAATATGTGTTTGCCAACCAATTTTCTAGTTTGGTATAATAACTAAAAAGGGATAAAAGTATCACATTTTTTTTTGAAAAATTGTAAATGTCTTCTTTTGTGATTTCTGTGTAATCACTCAAACAAAAGGCCTATCTGACTCTCAAAGTCATTCTTTGTGAAAAAATATGAATAAACACCCTTTTAATAATACTGAGAGTCTATGTGGTAGGTTCTGTGCTAGAGAGCAGTGACAAAAAAGTAAATAAAGTAAGGTTCCAGTCTTCAAAGCTTATTTTGCTAGACTGCAAATTCTGTCAAAGCAAAGGTTATATTTATTATTTGCCAAAAAAAATATAGCCCCAAATCCAGTAGGTACTTTRGGTTCAGCAGCAGAGAACTACTAAAGGTTTTAAGAAGCTGACTGCCAGTAAAGAGGAAAGAATAGAACAACAACAATTAGAAAGCTCTAGTAACAACTGAGAGAGAAGGATCCCCACAGTAGCAGTGAAAATAAGGAGAAAGGACAGACTTCAGAGATATTACTCAACTGAGGCATCTTTTTTGAAATACAAAACACGATGGGTGAGAAAGCWTAAGATATAGTGACAAAAAACAATCTATAATCAGAATCTTGGCTTCCAGTTATGAATAAGTCCCTCAAGGGAGAAGGGTAGGCCTGGGTCACAGACACAAAGACCACAGATTCTCAGGAAAATTTAAGATTAATATACTTCCTAAGACTATGAAACACTATTAGTAGAACATATTACTTTTATCCAGTTCTATATGAGCCGGAAACTATGAAATTTATGAAGGCAGTGGTGTTATTCTATTATCAAACTCCACATGTGTTCAGAAGGATGGGTTCCTGTCAGAATAATCCATCTTTTACTTTTACCTGTCTACTGAAGCCAGCCTCTCAAGCAGCAGCAATAAAATCATGTGACTGTAGTAATGCAAGAAAAATTTCATATTTTTTGAGATGGAAGCTGAGGCATTTATTGTAATTTACTTTCAAATTCTTCAGAAAAGAATGTAAATGAAACAAATCATATAATGCAAAATKTTGTCTGTTAGCTTTAGGTTCTCTAACTTTTCTCTGTTAGAACTTTTGTAATGAAAAAAAWTGGGGTTAAAAAATAGGGGAAAAGAAAAAAGGTTTTATGTAATGTTCCTAGGGTTCTAAATTTATCACCCTTACAATATCCTTTAGAAGATATAAGTTGAATGCTAATAATTTTGTTTTATGGTCATCATGTGAACTAGTGATTATACTGCTAGTTATATATGCAAAAGAAATGAAAACATAATGTCTACATTCAAACTTATACATAAATGTTAATAGCACAGAGTAGCCACAGCATAATAGCTAAAAAGTGAACACAATACAAATGCCCATCCATTGATGAATAAAGAAAACTGTGGTATATAAACATATAATAAATTAAACCATAAAAAAAAAAATGAAGTACAGCCGGGCTTGGCGGCACGTGCCGACAATCCCAGTGGCTCAAGAGGCTGACAAGAGGACAGCAATTTCAAAAAACAGTGTCAGCAATGGTGAGGTGCTAATTAGAAACTCTGTGTCTAAATAAAATACAAAATAGGGCAGGGGATATGGCTCAGTGGTTGAGTGCCCCTGAGTTCAATCCTCAGCACCCCACMGAAAATAAAATGTGAAGAGAGACAGGCTATAATACAGATGAACCTCTAAACCAGTATACTAAGTAAATAAAGTTACTCATAAAAGATCATATAATATGAGATTCCATTTATATGCATGTCATAAGAGGCAAATCTATAGAGGCACAAAGTAGACTAGTGGTTGCCTACAGGTGGTGATAGTGGGGAAAGGGAAGTCACTGTTCATTGACATGGGATTTCTTTTTTGGGTGACAAAAATGGGTCTAAAATTAATGATGGTGAATAGACTGAAAAAGCACAACCACACTGAATGGTACACTTTCTAAATGGGTGAGTTTTACAGTATGTGAATTATATCTCAATTCAAGTATTAAAAGGGGGTGGTCAGCAAAAAAAACAACCATGAAGCCCAATAATCCTTCTTAGTCCTGATATCTTGACATCTTATAGCACTTAACCCTGCAAAACACCCTCCTCTTCCTTGAGATACTTCTCCTTGTGTGAAGCTCTACTTGCCAATTCTCTACCTAACAGGCTACTCTTAATCCTTCCTCATTCTATGGGCTTTCTTATCTCCCCACACCCTGGTCCCATTAATGATCCAAAAGTTCTGTTGTGGGCCATCTATTGTTTCTATACTATCCTAAGTAAAAACTTGGCTTCAACTAATACCCTACCCTCAAATCTGATTCTGATCCCTTCCCAAATATTTTTTACCACTTGCAWGCTATATTTTAGAAACACTTACGAAAGCTCATTATCTCTCAAATTTACCTCACTAAAATACTGTTCATTTACCGAGAAAACCAGGTATAAACTCCTGGGCTAAGTACTTTATACGGTCTCACTTAATCCTCACAACAACTCTATAAAGTAATTTAATCTATTTTCCAAATGAGAAAACTGAAGACTAAAAAAAAACTTAAGTGTTAATCATGTTCTTAGCCATTACTTATCTCTCTTAACTCATCAGCTTCCCTACCAATCTGCTTCTCTCCTTCTGTGATTCCTTTCTATTAGTAATATCGCTATAGTATACGTTTAAAACTTTATACTTGATTCTTCTCTCTTACTACTAACATTCCGTAGTTGCCAAGTTTGATCAGTTCTATCTATTCTCCATTCTTATTGCCATTATGATAGTTTAGAAGGGATCCTCATGACAGTGCTAATCTTTGGTACTAAAAAAAACAACTTTTTTTATGCTTAAAGTTCTTATTTCTAAAGATTATAATTGGTTTGACATTAATGAAACTGGTTTTTAATATAAGTGTTTTACTGTTACTATGATTCTCTTATACTTTCTTAACAATTCTCATTAATTCAATGGTCAGATGAAGTGTAAACCCACAGGAAATTCATGTACTTTAGATCAAATTCTCTTTCAAAATAATAATAAAAGCATTTTATAAAATTAACTAATTTTGGGTGGGGATGCAGCTCAGTAGTAGAATACTTTCCTAGCCCAGTTCAATCCCAAGTACCTCAAAATAAAGACAAAAACAAAAACAACAGAACAAAAACCCAGTATGGAATTTAAACAAAACTCACTTCCTTTTGTAAAATAAGAGATTGTTTTTTCCTTATAGACTTACCTTTGGCTGGATCACCAAGAGTGGTAATAGCACTGCTGCCAACACACAGTCCACGCTGACAAACCAATTTGGCCTTCAAACAAAAAAATAATACTGTTGCTTATTATTAGTCTTGGGAGAGGCAATGAAATAGTGCTATATAAGCTATAAGCTTTTAAATAAGTGCAGAATCTGTTCACTGCATGTATTCATGGCACAAAGCAAGCTCACGTTCAGCAACTGTATTTTGATTAATGGTCCAAAGTTTTCCACAAAACTTTACATTGGTGACATTTAACAAAATATCACCAGAAAAACCAAATTAAACAAAGTCACAATTAAGTACTCCCTTGAAGGTGCCCCCTCCCACCAATTATAGCTTTAAATCCACTAAATTCAAAATGTCTTTATTTAGTGTAAACCTATAGCACACCTTATTTGGATTTAGGACTAAGTTAAAAGAGATTAAATTCCTCTAGTAGTGCTACATAATCTTTTTATTTTACATCAATTATATTTTAAGCAAATCTGTCCCTATTCTTTATAAAACATTAGCCCAACGTAGGAATTACTTTTGTATTACTTTTTGATGGTAGTACTACTAGCCATACACATCTTTGGAGACATATCCTATGAAGTTTGTTTCATCCCACAATTTAGGTACAGAAAATAAAACAGATATTCAATTTTCAAAGACAGGCATGAAACAATTCTAATTAACTAGTACGTTAAAAGTATTCATCTTATCCTCAAAATCATGTAATTTTAAGTTGAAAAGCCTCTAAAGAAAATATCTGGTAAACAATTATTCATAATAGAGAAATGCCTATTCACTAAAGGGCATTTAATCCAAATTAATTCAATTTTTACCATAAATTTACAAATTTAAGATAAAACTAAAGAGAAACTATAAAAAGTTGTTTAAAAAAATCATGTCAGCTTTCATTATCATTTATACTGCCACTTAACTAAATAACAAAAAATACCAATTAACTGGTCATCTGACAATCTCTTACCTGATTTTCAGTTTCAAATAGAAGAAACCCGTAAGTTTCTTGAAGTTCTTCCTGAGTATAGTTAATTGCTTGTTTTTGTTGATAAAAGGTTTTGTACTGTATAAAGAGAGAATAATCAAATGCAATAAATATGCTATTTTCACTTGCAAATAAATTCTTTAAATGTGTCATCTGAACTCCTCCAGCTGAAAAATTAATTAAATGTATTATTTTTTCTATTYCCTAAAATATAATGTCTTGTAAGTGAATATTTCCAAAGCTCTTTCACCTCATCTGAAAAATGATAGCCAAGAAGTATGAGCCTCAAATACCAAAAATGAGTCTATTTCTTTTAAATCTAAATGAAACTCACATAGTGTACACCAAGTACCTCACCTCATTTAAGAAAATGTCATTTTTCACCAAAGTCACTTGACTGTACTGAAAACCATGCTCAGATGCAGAGTCCAAGTAAGAAGTACGGAGAACTGAAATTGCCCTCTGGAAAAGAGAGTCTGAACTCAAGGACACTGTCTCAAAAACTGTAAAACACAAATAAAAATAATGTCACTGTTTAAGATAATGAAAGGATGGGATTAAGAGGAGCACAATGAATATCACTCAATGTTACTTATTTCTTTCCTGTATAAGTAATAAATTAATGATGTACTGCAGTATAGGTACTGTATCTGTACTGTCTTAATGAATTTTTAAAAGACCATTCATGTGAGGAAAACAGCATAAATAAATTACAACTGAGGCTAAATTACTTTATTACATGAGCTCAGATATGACCTATCAGACCCCTTACACCTTCTGGTCTAAAGTTGAGCACTATATTGTAAATATAGTTGGCCAAAAGCAGATGTACCTGTAGGGTCAAGATGGCAGTCAACAACTGCTTAGGTCAATGTTTCTTACCCTTTARGTTTTTATTCCTCTTATCCATGTCACATTCTGATAAACTCACTCTTCCTATCCTCTCATCAAATTCCTAAGTCTGTTAGAGTCCTTTTTAAGGGGTCAATTATTGCCAACTCAAACAATACAAATCATCTGTCTCTGGTATCTCCCCATCAGCAAAGAGTTATCTATAGAATTTTAATTCCCATGGACTATAATTTTTTTTCATTTTACAAAATAAAACTATTTTTAAGGTTTTTTAAAAAAACATACCCATGCACTATCCCCAGAGATTGTGATATACTCCTTCCCTGAGAAGCTTGTTTCCTAATTGAGAATTACTACTTGAATTCAATAATTTCCTTGATGATACTGTGTGTTTTGGATTTTTTCATTTCAGCAAAAACTGTGCTTAACCATTTGAACTGTTTACTCTCTTCTGTTTGTATTCTTTTTATTCTCTTTATCAAAATTCTGGGATTTACAAACTTCTTTATAAATAAGAATGATTTATACTACACCAGAAGTTTTGGTCAAATAGTATGAATAAATATATTAAATGGCTTCCCACCTCTTGAAAAAAAACCTGCCAATTTCATTAAATTTCAAATGTTAAAGAGAAGCATCCTAATTAAAATTAACTTATGAACAAAATATGTAAATTGTTACATATTAACTAAAACCATACTACAAAGGAAATGAAAACATTTCAGTAAATTTAATTTCAACTAAACTGTCCCAATGCTTCAAGTTATTTTAAAAAATTCTTTTTAAATAAACTCTCTAGTTTCAAAATGAAAGCTGCAAATAGAATGAAAGAAAAAAAAGGATGAAACATTTAAGAATTTTCAGAAGTTAGCACATCTGATCTATAGCTTTACTTTTGCTCAATCACTTTCTCTTTCAATTCCAGTGCTGTAAAACATGAGGATATTCTAAGCTAGGATTCATGGCTCTGCAGCTATTTGGAAGGCTGAGGAAGATGGCTTGAGTCCAGGAGTTTGAAGCCAACCAGAAACCCCATCTCAAAAAAAAATAGCCAAACACCAAAGATAATAGTTAAAATAACAGTTTTCTGTATATTCACCGAGGCTCAAGGTGTGAAACATGTTTTTTACAGTGAAAAAGAAAAAAAAGAATAGCTTCAGAAATAAAGGTTCTGATTATCTACATCTCCAAATTCTGCAAGACATTAACAGGGAGATATAAAATTTGGGAAGTACGGAATACCATATACATTCCCATTTTTAAGCATCATAATGCACCATAATACAGTGAAAACCAAGAGGTAGTGCAAATTTTAAAAACAAATTTACTTAGCTTCTTTTTAATACATGTGGCCAGAGAACACTATATTTCACATCAGTATGAGGAATACTGTTCTCAATGAAGCTTTGAGTAAAGCTAATGATTTGAAACAAATAAGGAAGAACAACAATAAAATGATTTATTTTGTGCTTACATATTTCTAAAACTATTTACAGTTAAAATTGCTTTCCCCTTTAGGCCAGCATTATCTGAACAGCATCATATTGATAATAAGTAATAATTTTATGGTTAGTAGAAGGAAAAGAATGTTGGAAAATCACAGCTAATCTTGAATCTTTCATAATTTCATAAAAATGACAATTATACTCTCCAAAGAGCAAAAGTTTCCTGCTCTATAGATAAGAACTTTATCGAAAAAATTATTGATGCTTTTCCTCACACAACATATTTTCACTTGAGTCTATTGCACTGAACAACATGAACACTTCATAAATGAATGGCCTCATTTTTGCTGAGCCATATTCATGCTTTATTCAAACATTGAAAATTACAGTATTAAGTAAATGAAGAGGGGGCTTTTCTACAAAGAAACCTAAAATAACATTTAAGAAGGTAACCGAAAAGTGCCTGTGTGTAAAATATTCAAATTATTGGGCGGGTTTAAGTGACAATAAAGTRCACACAAAGAAAGGTGAGTTCAGTTCAATTACAATGGTTCTGGTAAGTGAATTTTCCTGTTTACCTGGCTTTTGGCACATTTCTGTTATGTGTATGCTCACGCTCAGCCTTTAAGTTTGATTTTGGACACCTCTAACTTCTAATAATAGGGATGAGAAAATAATAAACCAACTACCTGTGTGCTATATCATAGCACACTTTATATAAACTTTTGGTCTGGGGATTGTAGCTCAGTGGTAGAATACTTGCCTAGCATGCACGAGGCCCTGGGTGTGAACTCTAGTACCAAAAGAGAGGAGGGGAAAGGTAGAAAAAGAAAATTTGGTCTGAAAGCCAATGATGAGATAAAACTAATGACAAATTATATGTCCCAGCGATTCTAACAAAAACTAGATTATACATCTCTCCATGACCACATCTCCCCACAGAAGGACAATAACCTACATCTGTTGATAATAATGATGCCTATAAACCTTACCTATTCTAAGTAAGCCATTTGATAATTGAAGGGAACAGTCCATTCCTTAATCATTCAATCTTAAAATGTATATATCTTTACTTTTAAGATTCTAAAAGATAGATGGTTTAAAATAAGTATACTTTTAGTTCAATTTGTCAGAACCTTTAAAAAAAAAAACATGCAATGTGTAGGAATGTATTTCTAAGAAATACTGGGATAAGCAAACAGGACCGGGACACACACACACACACACACACACACACACACACACACACAAAGCATTCCTTGAATGAGCATCCCTAGCGGGGGGGAAAAAAAAAATGAAGATACCCTAAAGTGCCATCAACAGAGAATACTCTGCAACTATTTTTTTTTAATATTTTTTAGTTGTAAGTGGACACAATATCTTTATTTCAGTTTTATGTGGTGCTGAGGATTGAACCCAGGGCTTTATGTGTGCTAGGAAAGCACTCTACCACTGAGCCACAACCCCAGTCCCCCCACTCTGCAACTATTAAAAACAAGGTAAATTTGTATTCACTGACATACAAAGATATCTATTATATACTACAGAGAAACAACATATGTTACCTGTCATTTTGGCAAAAAAGAAAAAAATACGTAAGCAAAATTAGGTATTTGAAAGTATACAGAAAAAAATATAGAAGGATGGGAAACCAAACTGTTGATACTGGTTAAATTAATAGTTACTGAAACTGGGAAGGGGACAAAAGAGGAACTTAAATTTTTTACCTAATATATATTATTCCAATTTAGGTTTTTCTTACACGAGCATGTATTACTTCCACCGTTTAAAATATCTCAACTTTGAAAAAAATGAATTATGATTTTGAAGAAATACAAATAGAAGAATGTACTTTTTATGATGCAATTCAAAAACTTAACCACCTATCAATTTTAGATTAATGATTATGAAAACATTGCAGCTATTGGAAATGATTTTTTTGAAAACTCTGTTTTACATGATCTAAATTAAAACTAAAAATGTTATAATTCTACTTTGAATTCGTAAGTAATAATTTACAGCAGTTAGATTAATACCCACTCTTTTCTGATAAGAACCCTGTCTCGATCTTCTCTAAGAGAGAATGTAGCTGGGAGGATGGTCTTAGTTCCTTTATATCACATATACCTCCAGAATTCTTGACGCAGTCCTGTTCTTTGTTAATATCATAAATGCTAAATGAAAAATAAAATTCATAAAGTGAATGACTCTATGATATAAACAAATGTTAAACAAGCATCTAATTTGCAAGAGGAATAAGTCTATGGTTAATTTTACCTCCTTTGAGTAGTGCCTCTATAAATTTGCCCTATAAAACAGTAGCATAGTTTGAAATAATTTTCCTCCAAGAGTCTAACTTCTAATGAAAAATTTGTACACAGAAAGATTCCTGTGCTTACAGGAATCACTTTTGCCTCACTGGGGGGGGGGGAACCTTTTAAAATGAAAAGCAGATCATAGAACCACATCTTTACTTTATTAAAAATAACAAAAGCAGGGCTGGGGTTGTAGCTCAGTGGTAGAGCTAAGCACTCTATCRCTTGCTTAGCACCTATGAGGCATTGGGTTCAATCCCCAGCACCACATTATAAAGAGAGGGGGCGGGGAGATTATGTGCATCTACAACTAAAAATATTTACAAAATATCAAAGTCAAGTAGAACACAATGAAAAAATCATTCCCCCCCAAATCAGTGAATTCGTTAAACTAAACTATTAATGGTATTATGTATCCAGTACTATGATATATCTTTGATTTATCAAGACAGAGAAATGGTCTATTGTAAATAAACAGGTTAAAAGAGCTCAGACTACAAAAGACACATGATGCAAAGAAATCAGTATGGTAAATGTGTAGGAGTCTCTAGAACATAATATAGTGAATGCATAGTAGTATAAAACCAATAATCTCATGGAGGTGAAGATAAGTCAGAAAGGTCTCATAGAAATCATTAATACTTGAAATATGAGATATTTAAGTGATAAGCCAAAAAGGGAATGGATGAGCGTGTTATGTTTTCTAGATAGTAGAAACAGTGTGAGCAAATATACAGAGGTGTAAACATGATACACTAAAGAAACTTCAAGTAGCTTCATATGACTAATTAGGGTAAGAAGAGAGGAGGGAAAAAAAGAAGACCAAGGAGATATAAGGGTATTGTGTTCTAAACAATTATTAGTTGAGGATTTCAATACACTTTACAAAAA